ATTTTAGTGGCTATGAGCCTAAATGGTTTCCTCAATTTGCCTCACTTAATTAAAAACCTTTCTGAATTGCACTTTATCAAAACCATGAATAAATAGGCCATTGCAGCAAACAGTACTGTTTTGGATTAAAGTGGAAATGGGATTGTTCTTTCTTTGCTTCTCCAATAATATATTATTTGTTAATTGCAGTCAAGGGAATGAGAGGATGGGAAAATGATAAGGATGCAGAGAAATGCCATATAACATCAGGAAAAGAGATAGAATGGATGCATTAGAACCAGAACGTTTAATTCACACAAAACTAGCGATAATATTTGCTTACTTTTAACATAGCAAGACATATGAGGCTTTAGAAATCTTGATCACTGAAGGCAACTCCCCCAGCTGCTGTACTTAAGTCAGCATCCTTTAACATGATAACATATATGCATCAGTAACTGATGTTAAGGCATGTCTTCCTTATGTTGCCTTTGTCTCATTCTTCAGGTTGTACCTGAAATCACTTAAATCATCTAACTGTTTCAGTTTTAAAGTAGCACTTTCCCTCTTCATCCAACTCAATTTTTGCCATGAATACAGTTTAGCATGCTTCATTGATAGTGTAGTTAGAGGCTGGGATCTGACAGTTACAACTGACCACTTTAGGCTGCTGAAGGCATACGGCACTGCCTTTCCTCCAATTGCTGGCCATTGCCAGCTACATCCATTTTGATATGGGGTAGAAAAAAGAGACTGGAGCTTACTACTATTATGCCTGCCTTGAACTTTCCAATATCTAATGCTGCTCCTTATATGCCTTGGCTTACCACTCTTTGGAATGAGCATTATCCTGCTGCTTAAAGAACTGGACTGTGCATTGTTATTAAAGAGTACACTGAAGTTTTTTTCCACTACTTTTACTGATTTGCATGATTGTACTTTTTATTTATTCTATTTTTTTGTTTTGTTTGTTTTGGTTTCTGAGGGAGGAATGCATATCGTTGCCTTTTGTACTCAATGGGCTACTTCTTGGTGTTGTTGGCTGTGGCCCTTTGCCACCACCGCTTCCATTCCCTTTCAGTTGAGGGTAGATTTCATTCATTACTGATACTCTCCCACCATGTATCCTTATCAGCCTGATTACTTTCTACTGAAGTTTAATCCTTTTGGAATGCTGAACATGGGTGACATTTGTGGAACTCTTCTGTGTCTTCAGTTGGTTTGTTCAACAAATTGATGGGTGATTAAGCAAATTGTTCCAATCATTTTCTACACTTGTCTGACCCCACCCCACATCAGGGAGAGTGACTGGTAGTTGTTTTCCTACTGGCAGGCAACACATGGCAGGAGGAAAAGTGAATGGGGAGAGCATTCATAATTTTGCAGTCACTTTCCTTAATTTGTCTAATATTAAAATGGTAAAGATAACTCAAGTTACCACCCTTCTTATTTCAGTGGAATAGGGCTTGGGTATATGAGGATAGCATATTTTTATGACAGTACAAAGACTGGAGATCGCTTTATTGCAGTCATCTGGTTTTTCCCGTAGATGCTTTTTCTTCAAACTCTAGGTGGTAATGTGGACCCTGCCCCATAGTAATTTCCAGTGGATAAGAGGAAGTGAATGAATGAAAAATGAATAATATCCATTGGAAAATGACCAATTTGCATCATGTGCATGCACACACTGATATTATCACACATTTCTATCTATCTATATCTGACTATAGAGAGCCAGTTTGGTGAGGGGGTTAAGGCACCATCCATGTTAGAAAGAGATCAGTTCTGCCTTAAGCACAAAGCCCAGTTGAGTGACCTTGGCTAGTCACTTTCTCTTAGCCCTAGGAAAGAGGCAATGGCAAACCATTTCTGAAATCTTGACAAAAAAACTGCAGGGACTTGCCCAAGCAGTCACCAGAACTCAACACTGACTTAGTGGCACACACAAATATATCAGATTATAGCTTATTGGTTGTTTTCTGACATAGTAAGAATTTTTTGACAATCTTATTATATTACACTTGCTGATTGATATTTACCCACACTGAACTGATCAAAAATAGGATGCATGTGCAACTTTTTTCTCCCCTTCTGTTAAGGTATATTTAACTAGCATATCTTAACAGAACAGAGGAGAGAAAGCAGCACAAAGATCCTATATTTGATCAATTCTGCCTGGATAAATATTAGTCAGCAGGCGTACTGCATGAGGGCAGTTTCAGAACCCTCAATACAAAACTGATGTAAAGTCATTTCAGAGGTTCTGCATCATGGCAAATATAATTTGGGACTTATAATTGTGGAAGAAAGAAAGGCATTGATATCAAAGGCATGCAGAAAACTGAAGGAACACTGTAAAATTCAAGAAAAGATTATAAAAAATGTAAGAGCCTCCAGTCTCATCGGTTTTTAATATAACCAGCTTTTCAAAAATATCAGGACAAGTGTCAGACAGGCAGTCTTTACAACTCCTCCAGTGCTGGTTGTCATTTTTATTTTTCCAGAACCTCAAAATATATAGAAATAAGTACAAGTTTATAACTTTCACTGTTTACATACTGGATTAAAAACTCATATGTAATTATATGAGTCAATTCAAATTCAATATGGTCAACTCAAATTCTAACTGTACAGTTAAGGATAATATTCCATAAACATCAAGGCAAGGTACCTCATTCCGTATGAAGAATCCAAGTGGTACAATTCCCATACAGCTTCATAATTCCCAACAAAGCTTGGTGAATTTCAACTTGGTCTTGTTTCTGCACTTCTTGATACTTCTCCTTTTGATGTGATTGCTTCAACCAATTCACATAGGAACCAGATCTTGTTCTGAGAAACACTTTATATTTTGAAACCTTGAGAACTGTCCCTTGAAATCCCTGTTAATTTTATACAGATTTTCTAACTTTACCAAGTATTAATAATACATAAACTGACCTCATGGAAAATGTGAAAAATTCAAATATTGTAGGAATCCCTCTTTCAGGATTAACCCTCTTAATGATTAGACTGGAGTTCTGATATTCTGTATTGGTGTTTGTTTGGTTTAAAGGCTCTTCAAGTGCTATGTACAACATAGGGAATTAGACATTTTGCTGATTAGCCACTTCAGAACTAAGTTCTGGCAATGCTAAAAGCTTCAGTAGAAGAGTTTAATACTGAGCAATAATCAGTTCACTCTATGGTACTAAAAAAGAGAACATGGTTATTTTAGGTACAAAAGCCTGAGAGTTTGCAGTTCTTGTAAAAATAAATGACCTGACAGTTGCTTTCAAAGCTGTGGGTTGTTTGCAAGAGAAATCTCAGCTTTTTTTGTGAGTCATTCTGTTGAAAATAGCAGTTAACGAGTAGAAGAAGATCCATACAGGCTGAGTTGGACTGAAGTTCGACACCTCTGTCCAATTGTTTGAGATAAGCCATATTGAACTTAATAGGACATATTTTAGATAGGTATATATAAGGTTGACTTTCAAACGCTGAACTAATGGATGAATGTATTTGCTTGATTACATCCCAACATTTGCCTGCCAGGTTCCAACAATAATGGAAACAAAAATAATTGAAACTTAGGTAAGATTATTCAATAAAATTTGAAATCAGCATTACATTTTTGAGAACAAAATATTATATAGCAATAAAAGCTTGAAGACCCATCATACTCTTTATTGAGTGATGAATCAGAGAAAAATAGGAATCAACCTTTATCTGTCTTATGTGCTCTACAGTTGAGGTGCCACTACCATAGCTGACGGTGGGAACCTCATTCTTTTGGCGACTAGTCCTACCGTCACCCCATATTTAATGTATAAAAATAGTTATAAACACTATAAATTAATCCAAACTTGGAAGGCTTGTCTAAAACCAGGGTTACCATGTTGTTTACATTCAAATAGACACCATCTTGAATTTCTTATCTGGATTCTCTAACTTACCACAAACTTCAAATATAACCTTCAAGTGAAGATGATTCAGGTTGGAAGTCACTTTTGAGTTTAAATAACATATGTCTGAGACACCAGTTAAAAAGTGGTCTGTGGAGGAGTGAGGTAAAACCAGTACATGTGTGCATTCACCAACTTGTGACATAGTGTGAATATGATCTACCTAATGCATAAAATCAAACATTGTAGAGAAGAGAAAACAAGCTGGGAATTTATTTAACAACTTTATGAACACAAGCCACATTTTCATGGTTATTGATATACTCTAGCACAGGGAATTAAAGAGGAACAATGGGTAGCTATTTCCAATGTATTTTATAGAATAAATAGTAGTTAAATTTGGATGACTTCAATAATCTAGTGTGTGGTATAAAATAGCTGTTTTATGATTGAAAGAGTGCTGTTTTGAATCCAGCTATACCAGTGATGGCGAACCTTTTAGAGACCGAGTGCCCAAAAATGAGCCCTGCCCCCTGCCCACCCCTGCTTCGCCCCTGCCCACAGCCCATCCCTTCTCCGCCCCCACCCTGGCCGCCCACAGGGCCACCCACTACCTCCAGGGCCCGCCGCAGATTGCCCAGGCAGCCCAGCAGCGCCATGGCAGCCACGCACTCCACCCATGGCCTGCAGCATCATCTGTGCGATGGGGTGCGAGTGCAGTGTCTTGTCCCAGCTGTCTGGCTGCCATGTCCTTGGCTGTGCTGCTTGGGATTCTCCGGGGGAGGGGCCACGTGGGGAGGCGGGGCTGGGGTGACGGTGTGCGTGCCCACAGAGAGGGCTCTGAGTGCCGCCTCTGGCACATGTGCCATAGGTTCGCCACCACTGAGCTATATCTTCATCAGTCATGTTCCACAGAAACAAGTAGAAAGTGTTCCATTAGAACTGATGCACTGATACTAAGAAAACACAGTACATTAGAATATGACTCTTCATATCCCATTCAAAATGTACATTAGAAAACAGAATGTAAGCAATACTGAAGAAGCTATGATAGAAGTGAGAAAATTAATGGCATATCAGCCTTTCTATAGCAATATTTATCAATAGGTGACTAAGCTAGTGTGTTTTGTCTTGTAGACTCCAAATGGATTACTGTTGACCCCAAGTCCACTGCTTTCTAGCATTCACTTTTGGAGCAGCCTCAGTCCTATTGCTCCATTGAGTCCTGCCAGACTGCAGGGACCAAATACCTTGTTCCAGGTAAGTTGGTGCATGTTGTCTCAGATTAATCTTTGCCATTAGGAACAAAAACAGATATAGGAAATATGTAACATTTACACCCTTTGCTCAAGAAACAAGAGCTTCAGGTTAGGGTGAGACATACTATAAACTGTGATTATGCTTGGATAAATGTACGCAGTTTCTCTGAAGCCAGGAGAGAAGGACATCAGTGCTCCGGTAAAAATGGTTCTGGTCCCAAAAATGTTCATTATATTGCTAGTAAATGAATTAGGAGCTAATCTGCGGATAGTATAGTGTACACATCAGAGTACTTTCCTGATAAAACATCAGCTGCAATATTTCATTGTAAATGAGATAAAAAAATTGTTGGCAAGTCTATCTATTGAGTACATATATAATGAGATCTATGAAAAAGACCACAAAGAATTTTGATGATTGCTCAGAAGGTTAGTATGCGTTATCTGAAAATGAAATCTTTATTCAATAGGCATTGAACATTGTATTAGAAAAACTACTATCAGTCTCAAGGATATGACAGCTAGATGGGCGAAGGCCTGCTCTTTTAATCTCTATCAAAAAGGAGAAAAGTATCAGTGTAAAACTGTATCAGCATATGAATTTGCCCTCTTGGGTGTACTTGACTGACAAGAGGAAAACAGAAAACATAGCAGTGACTAACAGCTGCCATTAGTGGTTCCTAAAAGTGATCAAGGGACTCTGGATCTGTTATAGCAAACAAATGTCCCTGGCTATTGTATGGTTGCAAAAAAGGCCAAGGTCACAGCTGTGTCAATATGATATGTGAATGAATTCATAGCGATTTAACTGAACTAAAATAAAATGTGGTTTACTCTGGTAGGTGAATGTACTCACCAGAGTGCAAAGATCATAAACTTGCCCAGTCAATTACATTGTCTGAATAGGGATAAGACACTTAATGGAGAATAGTGCCATCTGCAGGGGTGATCAAAAGGGTCAAGATGGTGCTTGCAAGAGCAAGTTCATTCCCTTGCATGCATACAATGTTGAGAAGCACTTTAATTGCACTTCCATGACTGCCATCTTGATTTTTTTTGACTGCCCCCTGCAGATAAGACTGATGGAAAGATAGGGCAGAAGTGACGGAGAAAGAGCAGTGACAATGTCTCAGCTTGTGGCAGCTGTGGTTCTCTAACACAGTTGCCTATTTGTTCAAGGCTTCTTTTATCACGTGATACCAGTACGCAGGAATTAATAGTTATTCTGGAGACCTGTTGTCTGAATTAACTATTATGGCAATCAAGGCTCTAAGAAATTCATTGGATTCAATAAAAAACAACTTAGTTGGTCATGAACTTGATTTCTTATAACAATTGAGAAGAAGCTTTTTTGGACTGAGATACCAAAGCTTTAGCAGAAGTAGCTTGTTTCTTTTACGGTGTTTTGTCTCTGAACAGAGAGCTGGAGAGAAACAAAGGGAAAATCAGAGCTCTCCTTTTAAATCAGTATTTTCAAAAATGAAATATGATTACAGGAGAGTTTTAAGCCTCCCCGCCCATCTTCATATAAAGCTTGAAGAATTTAAATAATAGTATAAACTGCCACCCTGGTGAAGGAGGAAAAGGAGATCCAAGTTTCCACCACCCTTAGAACTTGCTTTGCTCACTCTACATGCTTGGCTTTTCAAAAGTAGCCAAGAAGCTATCAAGGGAAGTGACAAATGGTATCACTTCCCCTGTCATCTGCTCCCTCAACTTTATCCCTGAAGCTCTTCTCAAAAATGTATAGTGTTGTTTCAAAAAACAAAGACATGTTATTTTGTCACAGACACTACCTGCTGAATCCATTTCTTTTGAGCTGATGTACAGGTAAAACTACTTTCGTTTCCCAGCATAGTAAGTAGAGGTGATTCTGCTGCAGCCAACTGACGTCAGTGGCTCAGGTTAATTGGCAGAGCCTCTGCAGATTGTAATTATAACTCATTCTGGATCTAAAAGTTTGTTGTGTCATTAGGATAATGAGAGACTTGTTCAGAGCTGCAGTTTACCAAGCAACAAAGGTGGAAATAATAGCAAGAAAATACAGTTGAAATTCATCAACATCTTAAACTCAGTTCTCCATTTGAATTCATGCACTTAATTGTTTCCTTAGTATTTACCTTATAACTGCAGTAAATGACTTGAGAGAAACCCTGTAGAATCCTTCATATCTGGGAGGGCACAAAAGGAAAAGGAGCTCTTTTAAGGAGCCAACTCTCTGACATAGCATGTCAAATACAAAGCTTGGATGTGTCAAGGGATAGAGAAATTGTAGCAATTTACAAAATTGTCAGTTGGCTCAGCAAGTAAGCTCCAACTTACTGGGCAAATCTCTACAATGAATCAGAGTCCTTTATTTTGTTTGTAAAAGGAATTTGGGAGTGTCTTTTAAATGAGTTGCTAGAGATGCACTCCTTCAGCCATATTCCCTGGATTTCCAGAAGTGAAATTTCTGCCAATGGAACACTGTAGTATATAATCTGTGGGTTATACGTGTGGATGAATTAAAATTGTGTCTGACCATTTATTTTTAGACTCTGTAGCTCACTCCTTGCTTTTAAAATAGGGCAGAAAATCAGAACAGCAAGAGCCACTGGAGAGGCCAAAAATATTCTAAAGATGATATTTGTTACAGAAAAGGGATGTGATAAGTATTCAACAGTGTCCCCAGTTTTATTGGATAAGAAATGGGTGTATTAGTGATCTAGTTAGGCTGCAGTTATGATGCAACCTCTGCTTCTTCTGTAATACAAACTTCATGCTTAGATATTGAGGAACTGAAATAGAAAAGCATTTACATCTTGAGTAAAGTGATAATTCAGAATAGCTGTATTTAATCTGTTTTCCCCTATGTAAAAATTGCAGCTGTTCACTGTATGTTCTACACTGTCTGTTCTATTGCTGCAATGATTTTTTAATAATAGAACTAGTGCACTAACTCTATGGCAATCTGACAAATGTTCTCTGTATTGCTTTTTAAATATTTTTAAATATTTTTTCTATCTGTATAAAGTATTTATTACATTTACATTTTACCATAATATAATGGCAAAATGAGCAATTTATATAACAGGAATAAATTGGATGTATATATTTTAAAAGTTATAGGAGCACGTTCTGTAAAAAAAAACAATTTCCTTGTTCATGTTACTGTAGTCTTTCTGTACAATACAGAAAAAAAGTCAAAGCTGTGAAATTATGGCTTGTGCTGCTTTATACTGCAAACAAGTATGAAACTGAATGTTACACCTTGTAAAGTGTAGCAAATGAGCACCTGAAGACACAAGAATGTTAACTAATACCCAGGAATTTACAAGTTAGGCCTTAATTTACGCCACCTTCAATCTGGGAGCATCTGGGAGACTCTAATTCTCAGCTGCTCACAGCTTGTGGGTGTTGTGCAGCATAGAAGCCAAAATCAATCTGTTTGTCAGTTCCAAGATTTCAAATAGTATTTTGGGCTGGGAACTTTGAACCCTGCCAAGAGAACAGCCACAGGGACTTTGCATTAAACTATCATGCCTTGGTTTATCAGAATAAGGGCATTAAAAAGGGATACAAAATACAGAGTTATCTTAATAATAAAGAATATTTATAGCTCAGGATTGATATGAGGGGTCTTTGGCTCTCTCTGAGTTTGCTTGTTTTCTTGCAAACATTTCATTACCCAAACATCATCACATCATCAGTGCTAGTCATCCTAAGAGTTATGTTAGCTATTATGTGATCTTTTGCATCCTTTTTGAAGATGTGTTCCAAAGCCAAATTCAAGTTACATTTTAGAGTTACTGTTTGTTCAGAAACATGCTGACTTTAGTTCACATGATCGATCTGGACAGAGTTGTTCTTCCACTGGAAGAAAATGCCCATGACTTGGTGGGAGTGTGTGGGTTGTCCTATGGTTCTTGCTAGAGCAAGTGAAGGCTACAACTTTTGCTTAGTTCTGGTTGATGTGCCTTAGTTATTGTCCTTACTGGACCAAGAAGCTGTTGTAGACAACAGTTCTGTAAAGTGCTATATGTGGGGGTGCTTTTGAAATTGACTCAAAGCAACAGGGAAAGAATGCAATGATTTAGCTGCTGGTAGGCAAGTACAACTTAATATTTATTCTTAAACTGCTCCGTTGGTTGCATAAAAGCTTCTAAGCCCAGTTTAAACTGTTGGTCATGATCTGGAAAGCCTTACATCATGGGTGTCAAACTCGATCGCGTCACCTGACGTATTGTGACATTTTTTGCCTTTGCGGAGCCGGGGTGGGCGTGGTCTGTGTGTTACACATCAGGCTGGCAGGCTGCCAGTTTGACATCCCTGCCTTACATGGTATAGCACTGGGTATTTGAGGTAGTCTTTTTCAAAATGATTTTTTCTAACCTTTGAGGTCATTGAGAAAGATATTAAAGTTCCATCCCTTTGAGTTGAGGGGGACAAGCTTTTGTCTATAATAGACTTAAATCACTGGAATACCTTGCTGCCTCCAATTTTGTTCTTGGTCCTTTTCTTGATGGCCTTCTGGAAATCTATGAAAAACATCTTATTTGGGCTTTTAATGAGCAGTGACCTGAGCATCTACTGTATTTTTGAAGTATATTTGGTTGTCTGTTTGTATACTCTGAACCAGAGGTCCCCAACCTTTTGGGCATCAGGGACCAGTTACATGGAGAGGTTCTTCCACGGACTGGAGGGGTGTGGTTTTGTGTGCTGCCTGCATCCCGCAGATGGGGCTTTGCTTGTTTGTGTGGACTGGTTGCTGGCATGCCACAGCCTTGTACTGGTCCACGGACTGGGGATTGGGGACCCCTGCTCTAAACTGTTCTAAATCATGGGCCTAGGGTGATATACAAGCAATTTAAATTAAATTAAATTGATTAAATTTTAATAAATTAAAAAATATTAATCCTTATGGGGATTATTTGATTTTATTAGGCATTCATTATTGTTTTGAAAATTAGAATGTCTTGCAGAACATACAGACATTTTTGCATTGTAATTCTTTTCACTTTTATTATTTCTGATTTTTTTAATCATATTTTGAATGCTAAAATAAAACAATGTGCACACTATTCATCAGCTTTATTGAGGTGGTCTTATTCTTACAGATTCATGTGCTTCTTTCCCAACCCAATTTGTTACATACAAACTTGTGGTTTTGGGATTTATTTTAACTTTGTTTACAAAAAAACATTTGTCAAACCTCAGATTGCTACTGATTCATTTTAGAATAAAATGAAAAAGTATTAGCTTACTCAAAAATCACAAGGAAATGTAACTTATTTTATTCTCCCAGTAAGAATCTATGGGTTGTCACAAATATTATATGCTTTTTTCTGAACCATCTTATATTCATTCATCCAATCCAAAATGAGTGATGTTTAACTGATCTGATGCATTTTTAAAAAAGATTATTTTACTTGTACCTGCCACAATGAGCGGTCTCCATGTATCATTAAAAACAATGTTTGACAGCTTACACATAGGTATAATGTGAGTATCAGTGACATTTTCCTTTGCTCTTTTTACAGTTTCCAACTCTGCTAAATGGTCACATCCCAATGCAAATTCCCAGCTTGGATGGGGCCTCTTCTCCAGTTCTCCTTTCTCCAAATGCTCATAAATCCTGATGTCTCAGCAAACTGGGGACTCACTAATAAACTGGATTTGACACAGCCATTCTGATGGGTTTCATTTTTCTGGTAACGCCAGGAGGACATGATGAAACTCTTTTACTATGGTTTGCACTTTCCATTACACAGATGACCTACTTGTATGGTGTTTATTTAGCATTTTTATACAGCGAGGGGGTTTTTTTGTATAAGAAATCTTTTGTGCATTAAAACAACTTATAATTTTTATATTCTGCTCTCCAAGTGTTGAACACTGTTAATGAAGTTATCTTTCTTAATACATTTCTAAACAATATGTAAAGGATGTGAAATGTTTTACTTCTGTACTTACGCGTATTATGCATCATGCTTGTATAAACTATAACCGGCTGTGCCTTCTTTTGCATAATGTTATATAAATGATTTATATATTTTCCAATATTAAGATAAACGTTGGAAAGAACCAAGTATTGAACACTTTTCTCCCCATCCTAGTATTTCAGTATTCCCCTTATGGTCAGCCATGTGGTGCAGTATATTCATGTAATTTTGAATTAAGCGCTTTCCAAATATATAAAGAATATTTTTGTTTACTTCCTGAACTGAGAGGCCATAATATTTTGGCCAGTGTGTTAAGAATATAACACTATTTAGACATTAGTGCTTGAATTCTTCTGAAATAGGAACATGGTCTTAAAATACTTGCAATGTATTTTAGGGGCATTTTTTAAATTGGAAGAAATAACCTTATTCAGTGCCACTATCTTTGTGTATAAAGCTGATTGTTAAAAGAGATGTCAATCTAAAATTTATTTTTGTGAACAGGTAAAATTCTCACATGCTTCTTATCAGGGATGGAGAAAAATTGTCTCCAGTGGTGCATGGACCAAGGCTTTAAGACTTCAACAGATTTGATTTTTCAAAAAATATTTTAGAATGCTTACAAAAATGAAAGTCTAAAAAAGATGACAGGTGCCTCTCCATAACTGGGAAATAAATGCCATAATACCCAGTATAGGTTTTCAGTGATTTTTCTCTCCTCCCCCACAAACCCCTTTGTACTAACCTGATACTGAATATTGTAATTAAAAACTATCCAGATTCTTCATCTCTTCAATAGGCTAGAATTCTGAAAACAGAAAAGAGTTTGCCACTTCCTAGAGTATCATGACTGGTTCCCTGATGATTAAATAAAAACCAAGTAAAACTGAATAAATATGGGTTGCAGTAGAGAAATAGAGTATTGTCTCTTAGCTGAAATTGGAAAAATACCTGATACATGCATATTTTATGAAGACATTAATAATATTCAAACAACACACATTCAGATTAAAGAATTCAAATTTATGTCATATTTTCAAAATCAAAATATTCTCCCTCTGTGCTCCAGCTTTGGCAAAAATGACAAGTCCTACTAGATTATGAAACTCAACTTCGTGTGCATTTTGAAGTTAAAAATATGAAGTAAAAATTAATACATTATAACTAATTTTCACTTCACATTGTTTCCTAAGATTTACTTTCCTTCAAGAGAACAAGTTTCTGCTATTTGAAGAACCCACTGATTTCCCAGACTTTTTACATGATTAGTATTCCGTTACATTTTCTATCATATGCTCCCTATCTCCTTCTTGGCAAGAATGCATTAGAAAGTGTCAATTTACTACATATTATGTATATAAAACATTTTCATTGCCAAAAATGTTCTATCTCATGCACAGAATCCTGTTAGATGTTTCAGGAAATATTTGGAACCCAGTCCTTTTATGCTAATACAAAATACTGATCCAAGAGTATCCTACACTGCTAACATCCTTTCTTAAACTTCTGAAATATACCTTCACTTCAAATACAGTTACACTACATGAAAGAGGGTTCAGAGGTAGCTCTCAACTTACAACCATTCATTTAGTGACCGTTCAAAATTATAGTGGCACTGAAAAAAGTGACCTATGACTGTTTTTGTGGCATCCCCATGGTCATGTGATCAAAATTTGGGCACTTGGCAACTGACATGTATTTATAACAGTTACTCTGTCCTGGGCTGCTGTGATCACCATTTGTAACCTTTTAAGCTGGCTTCCGACAAGCGAAATCAATAATAGGCAGAAGCCAGATTTGTTTAATGACCGCATGATTCATTTAACAACTGTAGTGATTTGCTTAACAACTCTGGCAAAAAGGTCATAAAATAAGGTACAACTCATCTAACAACTCTCACTTAGCAATGGAAATGTTGGGCTCAATTGTGGTCGTAAGTTGAGTACAACCTGTATACAGCTATTATAATTTGGAAGCGAATGTAACAATCTTACGTTTTGAAATTTAAGCTTAATGAAGTAACTTCAAAAATTTTAAGAGTGAAACAGCATATACACCTTTTCTGATTATGCAACAAAAGCTGATCTTAAAGCTCATCTATTTTGGCAGGAAAATAATAATAAAAATAGATTGGCATGCTAGAAGCCTTTGGAATCATTCAATTTTCATGCTAAAAAAGATGGAAAAGCATAAGAACAGAACAATATTTTGTGCCATTTTAAACAAATTATCAAGTTATTGATTTATGCACATTAAAATCATGTAAAGAAAACTGTTCTAAACTTTGCCTAAAATGGGTTAAGAATGGTTTTGGGGAGATAAATAACATGTAACATTAACAGTGCAGGAATTATTCTTTGATTTATGGTTTTTTCACATTAAAAGTAGGTTTGTGTTCTTCCCATTTGAAGCACATGCAGAACACTATTACTTGGCTACTTCGAATAATAACATGCAGAAGTGAGATGAAATTTAAGCTGAAGAACAGTTTATATCAGAAGCTTTCAGGTGGTGTAATAATTGGGACCCTGAGATTTTCTGCCAACCATCAGGAAGCTGTGAGATTGTGAGGTCAATAACATACTGTAACCTTTATACAGTAAAAGCCAGAAAATGTACATCCATAATAAGCTACATATTCACAGCCATATTTCTTTAATTCATTTCCTTAAAATACAAATTAAAGAATAGTAGATTGATGTTAATAGATGCTTGATGTCTTTCTAAATGCTGTATCTAACCCCTTTTCTCTGTCTCAATCTCATGTGCCTTAATTAGTCCATAATGAACTGGTTGGAATTTTACTACAAAATGAAATCTTAGTAAGCCTTTCCTAATAGTACCACCAGATAAGCCAGACCATTGCTTCTATAATTCTTTGCTAGCATACTACATATAGGCATTATAAGGCCCCGGTTGAGAAAGATTGGTTTAATTGTTTAGTTGAATATTTAGCAAGCCACTTAACAGCAATGCTCTCTCTATATGTTTTTGCATACTTATAATGTGAGATGCTGAAGTTACTACAATAGAACGATAAACATCATGGCTGAAATGCACTTCTGCATTTTAATAGATAGCTTCTGGAGCAAACACATACAATGTGAATTACCTGTTGAGTCTTTAAAGTTACAAATGTGTTTATGTGTTTGCTGTGTAAAAAATAAAGTATACCAAGCAATCAAATTTACTGGATAATGGTGTGAAATTCTAACTGCTTCAGTCAAGAAGAAATTATTCAGATACACAGGAACAGACACTGTTAGGCATTAATGTGGTTGTTGTTTAACATAGTTATTTCCATTCCATGAAAGCTGGAACTCTCCTTTTTTCTTGATAATAATGAAACTTATTCTCAAACATAAAAATTAATTATAAAGAAAAGGGATGATCCTCCTTTTGTTGCCCAATCCATAAGATTTGCTCCTGCAAGACACACCCAAATATATTTATTTGTCCACAACAGTTTCCAAGCAAAACTTTTAAATGACACCACTGTTAACATGTACTGTACATCTTCTCTACCAAGTGAGATACTTCAGAAGATACTCATATTTGCATGCAATCCTTTTGAAGTACAATTGACTAAAGGTACCAACAAAATATCCACTAAGCCAGATTTTGCCCCAGATAAGTAAGTTCAACTCTCAATTGGTGTTGCATTACTGGTTAGGAATACTGGGATTTGTAATCCAGCATGTCTAGAGGATGCTAGGAAGAGAAAATACTGCATTAAACATTCCTGCTTTCCAACATAAATATCATTTAAGCCTGAAAAATTCTTTATTTTAATTCACACTTTACATATGTAAACTTTGGAATATCTTAAAGATATTTATTTAAACCTCCCTCACAGAGCTGTTGTGAGGATATTTAACACTTGGGGGGGGGGGAGAGATTGTATATATTTCAAGTAGCATTACTTAGAACAAAATTGAATCCAGCTGGTGAGACACTCATATTTATAATTAGAAATTTTCAACAAATTCTTAAAAATAAATGAAACATTTGATAATGTGTATAACATTTCAATTCTTTTTCTATTGGCTATGAAGACTTCTGTTTTTAGTTCATCTGTTCTATTTGTTAGCATTTAACATTTAATCCCTATGTGTTGGAAATTATAGTAAACAAAATCACTAAATTCTGAGGGCTGGATTCAAAGATTCCTCTCGCTGGAGGAATGTGGAAGAAATTGTTGCCAATGTTTCCGCTTTCAGACAGAGAAAGAGAGAGAAAGAGAGAGAGGGGGGGGGATGCTGTAGAAAATGAAGGGATTTTTTTTAAATAGTTAGGGTTAGGGTTAAGTGGTGAGGAGCTGTAAGGAGAATAAGGAAATGGAATCTTCATTCCTCCTTTGTGCAGAGGGAACATATGGGGTTCCATTCAAAAATGGACGTGTATATCAGAACTGCAAATAGATCAAATCTCTTAAACTGTAATGATGCTTTGTTGAAATATATTAGGAGAAATAGCCCCAATTCTGCTGAATAAAAGGCAATTTCTGAGTTACTTCAAGAGTTTAAAAATCCTCTTTCCTCCCTCCATTCCTGCTATGCCCAATTCAACAGATGTCTTATTGGTTTGTCAAGCAGAAATTTTCTAGCTGAATCTGGAAAGTTGAATTTAAACATTGTTTCCAAACCAGGACAACAATAGTGTATTCCAACCATACATAGAAAACACAGTCTGTATATGTCCTCTGATTACTTTAGTAAAACTAAACTACATATACCAACTAGTTTTTGTCTGGATTTCACTGGATCAGCTGTTCAGTTTAAAAACACATAATACAGGGTGGCAAAGTTTCAAGCTTCAAGGAAAGTCATGTTTTAAAAATAGGATTTATTGTTGTTCCTGAAAAGTGACAGAAAAGCTTTCTTCAATTCAATGATTTTGGCAAGCTTCAGGAAGGTGAGGGATTCAGGACTTCCGGAAGGCGGGAGAAATGCAAAAAAGTTTCTTAAAGCTGCATGGTGGGATACTATAGAATATCTGAACACTACTGAAGATTTCCATATAATATTTATACTTTAAAAGTACAACATTAATACAGGTCCATCTGTTAGAAATAAACAGCAGTTGGTTAGCTCTACTGGGCTTCGTTAAGTGTAAAACCAGTTTACAAATGCTAAAAAGCAGCAGTGGTCCAATAGTCACCATTTCACATAAACGTGTCTTCTTTTCCAGAAAAGAGTTCCCAAATTAATTTTACTATTATAATAATAAAACATTAATAAAACATTCCAAAACATGCCACAATTACTATTCACAAATAAAGTTAAAGAAACATACAAAATCTTTCACTTAATACTGTTAAATAACAATAATCAATTACAAGATTTCCTGAACAGAAATGGTAGGACCCCTGAATGTTTTACAGTGAACATCAGGAAAAAAAATTAAGTTATCTATGAATATTTTCATGATATATCAGCCAAAGATTTACATAACCATTTCAAAATATACTAATAAAGATTTACAGCCTCTGGAAGATGCACTAAACAAAGAGGTTCCAAAAGGTGTACACAAATGCTGAAAAATACTGTTCCTATCACCAGGAGGTACTTATGATACTCACTGAGATACATAAGCTTAGTAGTACTGTAATATGATGTCTTAATTTCAATAAACAGATAACATCTAAAACCTTTAAAACCCTCTAAGTTCTCATACTCCATGAAGCCTGTATAATAAACTAATAGATTATTTATTGTGGACTTGCATTCTTTTGTGGCTTTCCAATGAAGCTGTGGTCATAAAACAGCCACCGAAGCAAGTGGCAATTAGAGAATTGAGCTGGGATGCATTGCACCCAGAGTTTGCTTTGAATCACTGGAACGTTTAGGGAAATACCACGTATCAAAAATATTCTAACAAATAAGTGTCCATTAGAAAAAGTTAGATAATAGTTAAGTGTCACATACAGATGGTTTATCATTTCTGATATAAGCCAAAATAAGAGATCTGGAATCTGACAGTTTTTCATTTGTTTGAATTGATATCTGTACTACTAAGTGCTTTAAAAAGGTATTTGGTAATATTCTAAGTATTTTATATCTAATGTTAAATAAGAAATGTACAGGCCAAGAACTAGAGAGCATTAAAGTAAATAGTAACTACAGTCAAGAAAGCTGTGTTTACATTCCAGGAAACATTGCAGTTAAAGAAAAAACAAGATATAAAACTGCAGCAATAGTTCATGAAGAGAAACAAGGCATTCACATAGCATATACAGTAAACCCATTGCAACTCTTTCAGGCATTCAGTTGTTTCTTAACTATACAGACAGTAGTTATTTAGCAGCAATGATTACACAATAAATAATGCACTGTGTTTCTCAGTCCTGCACAAAAATTGCAGCTATTGTTACATTAACAGTTGTAACCTACTGGCTCTAATGGTGGAAGAGACCTTAAAATTGACTGTACAAAAATTTGTCACATTGTGACAACAAATATATATATATATATATTTACATATATATATATATTTTAAAAAAAAATAACCAGTAGGTCCGAAATAAAAAGACTGCACTGTGAGGAGGACAGTGTAGACAAACAGGTGGCAAGTCCATCAAGGGAAGAACTGCCTTTAGATTAGATTCGTTGATGGAGGTAAAACTAGCGTTGGGCTTGAAACAGCAATGCCCACCTCAGAAAAGCATGCTTTGCCTTCTGTTCTTCCCATGTCCTAGAATATAAAACATGTATTTTACTAAGAGATTAAGGGTTCTGACGTTTCTCTTATACATACTGATACATAAAAACAATTTTAGAAATGAACTGAGCATTATATTCAAAGCAATCATCTCATGGAGAGAATGAGTTTGGTCTAGTGCAGGGGTAGGCAACCTTGGCTCTTTTATGACTCGTGGACTTCAACTCCCAGAATTCCTGAGTCAGCATAGCTGACTCAGGAATTCTGGGAGTTGAAGTCCACGAGTCATAAAAGAGCCAAAGTTGCCTACCCCTGGTCTAGTGGTTAAGGCATCAGGCTAGAAACTGGGAGACCATGAATTCTAGTCCTGCCTTAGCCATTAAAGTCTGCTGGGTGACTTTGGGTCAGTCATTCTCTTTCTTAGCCCAATTCATCTCACAGGGGATATTGTGGGGCAAACGGGAGAAATGTGCATTAGATATGTCCACCACTTGAGTTATTTGTAAAAATAATAAAGCAGGATACAAATAAACAAATCTATGCTTAGTCACATGGTGTGCTAAGTTACAGTATAGTTTGATTCTGGCTTAGCATGATGTTTCAATTCAGCCACTTGGTTTGGAAATTTACCATATATGGCTTAATAGTATTTGTGAATCACTGTAGCTTAACTAACAACCTGCATCTTAAACAAATCAAAGCTTAGTCTGAGGAATGGCTACAGCCATTCACAGAATGCACCTGAATACAACAGCAAATGATGCAACAGTGCCAAGCTACTTAAGAGTGCTTTTTTCCATGATTCACAAGATCATAAAGAAAAAATCCAGATCTGCAAACCTCTTTAACGAAAATCTTGTTTGAGGAATCCACAGAATTTTAACTATTTAATAGGTATTACTTGTTCTACTTCATGCAATTCTGAAAAAGAAATGTAAATATTACTTTACATACCTGTCTCTGGATAAGTGGAATTTCGAAAGCCTGGATCTTTTTGGAGTTGAATTTCTTTCAAAGTGAATATTGATACACCTGAAAAAATACATGTAGTAAATTTTCCCCCCCAAATAAGTGTCTCGCTTTCAAAAATATATTTGGAATCAGAAGAAAACTTTATCAAACAATATTTATAGAATACCCCAATCTGAACAATCCTGAAGGATTTACAGGAACTGCAGCAAAGAAAAAGAAAATAGTATTTTTCTTTTCTGTCATCATCCCTGCCTCCAAACTCAGCTGGACAAAAGCAGGAAGAACTGACAGCCCATCTAAATTTGACTTGAACCTGATAGTGGGTATCAATAAAGGTCTTTCAGATGAAAGATACAAGGTTAATAACAGTTAGTTTAAGCACAACATAACTCAAGTGGATACTTGATTCAATGTAATGTTTAGAAAGATTCTTAATTTTCTGAGCAAGTAGGGTAAATCTCCTCAAAGCCAGATGCCCAGCTCATATCAAAGGCACAATAAACTTACTTTCTGGTAAAGTATGTATTCTAGTTCCAAGACTTCTGAAATATGCATGTTTCATAGCCTCTTCTGCTGAAATTCTTTTCTTTGATTCATACTGGCAAACAAAAGAATAGAGATTATTTTAAAACACAGTTGATGCAGAATAGGTTTTATTTACTTCAAATCCCAAGGTTTGGTTTTTAGTACCTATAGCTATAGAAGATATGTCAAACACAAGGCCCGTGGGCTGAATCCGGCCCACCATGTGGTTCTGTCTGGCCCGGGGACCTGCTCTGGAAACAGCAAAGGACTGGCCTATGGCATCTCAGCCTGGCCCAGGCTGACCGGACACTGATCTACAACCATCAAAGCCAGAATTAACTCAGCCTTAGATCCACCGGGCAGCCCTGGAACCAGCGATGGGTGCCCCGCAAGAGGCGTTGAGCAGGCGGAGTCCAGCGTCCCTACTGGCTGTCTTGCCCTGCAGGCTGACTTCACCCAGGATGCCGGCATTGGCTGTCTCCTGTGCGCTCACCCAGGGGGTGGAGCAGAGGCGGCAGCACAGCTCCTCTCTGGTTCCAGGGCTGCCCCATGGATCTAAGGCTGAGCGCATTCTGGCTTTGATGGATGCAACCAGGTTGTAGATCAGCGCCACCCCCCTCCCACTAGCACCTCCATGGCCTGCTCGCTGACCTAGCCTCGCAGCCACGAGGCTTCCATTTCACCGGGACCGGCCCTGCCCATGTGGGATAGCGATGGCCGGCAGCAGCATGGACACCGACAGCACTGGCAATCTCTCCCCCTCCCATCACCTCTTCCTGAGCACGGAGGAAGGAAAGAGATGAGAAGGAGAAGGGAGGGAAGGAAAAAAGGGAAGGAGGGAGGGAGGGAGGGAAGAAAGAAAGAAAAAGGAAGGAAGGAAGGAAGGAAGGAAGGAAGGAAGGAAGGAAGGAAGGAAGGAAGGAAGGAAGGGAGAGGAAACTTGGTTGGAGATGCCCCAGTTCATGCAGTTCTGCTTCAATCCTGGATCCATTGAGACTTGGGCTCAAAGGAGAAAGCAATTTTGGGTTCTCTTTTGTCACAGACAGGACTTTATTGGCAATCCAAGTTAACATTAGTATTCTTGAATTGTGAACTCTTAGGAAAGTATCCCCTCCCTGTGTGTTGCAAACAGCCATTTTCAGTGGGGAAAACAGGACAAAGCAGAGTGGGAGGAAATATTTTCCTTTGCTATATTTCCAGTCTCAATTAGACCATGGCGGGGTCCCTTCAGAAGAGCACTTTTAAGAATTATGTATTAATAGAAAAGCAACTAACTTACCTCTGTTCCTAAAAGCTAAAGCTATTGCACTTAAAAAACAGAGGAGCTCTGATAAACTATCACAGCCACCATTTTGACAGTTTTGCTGTACTGTTGTCTGTGGACGCCCCCACTAAAAGCAAGCATGGGATAAACTCAGCCTGGTTTGTTCTTAATCTTTTAAGTGGTCACAGACTACTAGCAAAAGTGGCATTTGATCACAAGGCAACGAGGCATTGAGAAATGTTTCCCCTTTTGCATTTGAGCATCCAAGAAGGGACAGGAAAGGAGAAAGGGAAAGAGGAAAGACAAACAAAAAGAAGGAAAGAGGGGAAGGAAGAAGAAGGAGAATGAAGAGGGAAGGAAAAAGAAGAAAAGGGAGGAAGGAAGGGAGGAAGGAAGGAAGATTATAATGAGAGGGAGGATGTGTCTGAGGGAAGTCCTGCCTTAGCACTTGGCCACAAGCAGCCCTGCTGCCCTTTCGCCATCCCCTTGTCCCCTCCTCCTGACCTCTCCTGGTGGTCTCCCATCCTATCGCTGAGGATGAAAATAAGTGTTTAAAGAGGTAAAAGCTCAAGTGGGTTAGGAAGCTTGTGGACACTAAGGAAAGTGGCAGTGGGTGCTTCTTGGGAACATCAAAAATGAACAAAACTGAAACAGATGAATTAATAGATTGACTCCATGGCCCAAGCCCTATTGTTTTAGATTTTTGGTTTAGTATATCTTATTCAAAAACCCATTATTTAAAACCTTTAGCTTAGCACACTGTGTGAGTGCAGCCCAAATTAGTTAGGTTCCACATATAAACTAAGACAAAAACTGTAGTATATTTTCTTGCCTTTATTTCTATATGTGCGTGCATGTGCAAAATTATTTTTGCTGTTGTCTTTCAAAATCTTTTAAGGAATTCATTATTTATGTACTTTTTCAAGATTTTACTACTGTACATGAAATTATCAACTGAAAGAAGAGATTCTTGACTGAAGGAAGAGATTTTTACAATAAACAAAAAAGAAGCTGCAAGAGCAATATCTAAATAATGCTCTATTTTGAATCATAGTTTTCTATTCTTATAATCTGTCAAATAAAGAACTTGAAAAGTACTCATTGAAAGTAAATGTGTAAAGAATACAAAAAACAACTTACTTGAAGAAATTTTACTATCAGTTCAATCCCGTCTGAATCCAGCCTAGAAATAAACCATATATTCACTGTTTATTCACATTTTCCAGATTGGATTACTTCTGCATAAGAGATATCTCCAATTTCAAAATATCTTGAATGTAATTATGGATTCTACTTAATACTAATAAGGTGATATGCCTACTGTTATTACTAAATGCATTGTGCTATGCTATTATTTCACTGTATTTTAGTATAAAAAATAAAAAAGCAATACTTTTAAATAAAGTGAAGTATCATGGAACTAGCATTGAAAATATGTAAGAATGTATTAGACATGCTTACCACCAAAGAAAAATAATATATTTTGAAAATGAAAGATTTTTTAATCACTAAATGAATGTAAGTCCACATGAACTAGAAAATAATGACCTAACCTAATATAATTCAAATAGTGTAAAGGAAAATGTGTAGCAAACAGATGCCTAAACAAAATTAATCACTGGAATATGGGTTTTCAAATAAATCACAGATTAACATTACTCGCTGAGAGTCACTGGTTTGAAATTTCTTTCTTTACTATACAACGGCTGTCTTTAGCCTTCATTTGATCCTTAAACTGAGTATCACACAAGGGGACTTCCACTTATGCACTAGCAACATCTTTAGCTTTTCTCTTTTGTTATTGCCAAATCTTTTCTGGATGATCTCCCAATCCTCTTGAACAGAACTGAAGACTATTTCAGGGAAAGCAATACAATATGTTGGAGTGTCTCATTATTTAAAAGTGGACTGCCATAACACATTTTTTATAAAACAAAACAAATTATTACAACATGCTATCCAATAAATCTATGTATAGTTATAGTTAAAATTTAGAACTTCAACAATGTAAGATTCCAGGAATCAATTTTATAGTTGATGCCCTATTTATAAAAACTATTAATTTGGATCATTAGCAGCTATTATACAAATTCAATTATTTTACTATTCTTTATGTAAAGAATTAATCCCTCAACAAAAAGAGTTCCTAGTGAGGGTTTTTTTTCCCAACAGAGTACTTATGATACATGTGCAATTTGAACTTTAAATACCTTGGAGCGTGGTTGATCAAAGGTTGTGGCTTGTATTTGGGAAAGTTGTAATTCCTAAACTCATCACTGGAAGTAATGCCTGGCCATGTTTCTTGTGATGGAGTTCCTGAATTGAAAGATTAAACAAATCAACACAAGGAGTACTAATCCCATGCAGACATTAAAAGAAATAAAATAAAATTTTAAACAACAGCTTCCAAAATAGACAGTTGATTTTAACAAAAGTACAAACTTGTAATATCAAAATCATATCCCCCCTTTATAAACATATAAACACTGCAATTACAGTGTAAGACTAAAGTTTTCAGAAATTCTCTTAATAAGAGCAAAATAAACCCACAGCTGTAAGCTAAACATATTTACCCAGAAGTCTGAAAATTAAGTGCAATTCATCTTCAACCGTTGACCCAGGAAAGAGAGGTCTTCCTGATGCCATTTCAAAAAATATGCATCCAACTCCCCTTTAAGAGAGGAAAAGCTCAAATAAGTATTACAAAGGAGATGAAATTATTTAAATATATAATTTTAATGATAGGTAAGATGGCCTACTTAACCTAATTGTGTTAAGGTAACATGGTCATATAACTGCCAATTAATTAGTATCCCAATAGTAAATTATTGCTTTTTCCTTGGTTATGAAAAATGATGAACAAGATTTGCATTCATTTGAAATACATTTGACCAGTCTCACTATTGAGATTTTACATATGAAGTTGTTTAAAACTCAGGGATTCAAAACAACTAAATCTGTGAGATTCTACAAATAAGCAATATTTAATTTGCTTCCTTTTTCTTCCCCCAGAGTTTCAAGTATGAATTAGAAAAGCAACTCCAGTATTAATGCTTATTATTAACAAAGGTTACTTAAAGTTAAAGAAGAAAAAAATATATACAGAATGTTTAATTTGAATGAAAGCAAGCAGGTTAATATTTGAGACTCACCACATATCGATTTGTGTGGAATATTCAGAAGATCCAAGGAGAACATCTGGAGGCCTATACCACAATGTGACAACTTCATTTGAATAAGTTTTCGTAGGAACAGATTTTGCTCTAGCCAGGCCTTCAAGAATAAAGTGCAAAATGAATTTCCTTAGCCTAGTTCTAACTTCCTTCAATTTTATATTATAGAACTCCTTTTCATAGAAATTTTACATGATTCAGAAACTACAGCTAAGCATTTGCTTGTTGCTATAAAACAGGAGCATTTATTTTTGACAGACCAATGCTTTCTACAGAAAGGTCATCTATATGCAAAGTTGTTCTGGCCTCTTTCATTCTACTTCAGTTGTATCACTCATGTTTGGAAAATCATGCATCCATGTTATGGAATTACTACTGCTAACAAGTCTTTCTGAGAAACACTTTTACCATTTGTGATGATGCTTCTGCTAAACTTCCCACCTATCCTAATAGCCATCTCCAGACAACCATGCCCTTTTAACTATCCCTTTCCCCTGCAGCCTGGTGATTCAGGTAGAGATTAATGTCTTCCTGTATTGCCAGAAAGTTTGCATTCCTCTTTCTGCATTTAGAAAGGGACAATCTTTTATTAGTGCACAAAGAAAATACACCAAAATAAAGCAAAGAAGAAGAGGAAAAGAAAACATGAAGAAAAGAGAAAGACTAAAAAGACAGAATGAAAACAACAAAATTAATTTTAGTTCCACATGTTTGGCCATATCTACTTTTGAAAGTGGTCCTCAGGAGAAATAAATAAAATATCCCTTGAGATAAAAACTTTATCGATCCTGACACATATTCACCAGTCTTACTAAGGAGGAAGCGCCTCTGGCAACTTTCTCCGAAATGGTGTCCACCCAATGGCTCCTACTGGCCATCCAGCTTAGATATGAACTGTATGCCACATCATCTGGAAACAACTTTAGCCGATAGTACAAGAGACTTAGAGCTGCTTTGTCAAGAAACTACATAAGATATTATCTGCAGTATTTCTGAGCATGAGTCGAAAGTGCTACCTCAACAGGAGTCACAATGGATCACAAAAGGGAAGATACCCGTACACAATTAAACAGGCAAGTTCTTTTAAAAAGCACACAGAAAGTACGAAGAGACTAGACAAGAGAAAAGTTGGAAGAGGCTGTTGTTGTTTTTTTAAAAAATTCTCTTAATCATAATGCCCAGAATGTTCCTGGGAGGCTGTAGCAACCAGAGGAATATAATAAACTTTTATTTTGGGGGGGGGAGGGGGAGCAGAGGGGCAAGAGGAGCCCTTGGTGTTTTGCATTCTAAGTATTGCCACTTCATCTTGCACATTTGCGTTTTTGTGTGCTTTTCCTTCCAAGAACAGCTTGATTCTCCCTATCACCTAAAAATTAATACTGGCTCCCAGGCAATTAACCAAGCATTTTTGGTCCTATAATACATATAGCTGGCAAATCAGAGAAAGAACATAATCCATACTTTAAACTGAAACAGAACTGTAAGATGCATTTACAACCGGGTGAATTATGTAAGATTAGCAAAAAAATAAAATTAAAAAATAGATACTAGAAAAAGCTAAGGGCAAATGCTATGAAGCCTGATGAGAAGCTTTCATTATAAGGATTTTTTTGAGAGAAATGTCTGTTTCTGAAAAATTAGAACAAGAATGTGCTTCTCTGATAAACAAATAGACAATTAGCACAGAATATTCTCAGAATATTGGTACATATTTGTCAGAATATCAGTAACAGTGCTAAATTCTCTTCCAAAATATTTTTAAACGTTTCAGACTGTACAGTAGTGGCCAAAATTGTGGAAACCTTTTGGGAAAAGTGTATTTTTGAGGTATGATGGCTAATAACACCACTTTCCTTTGAAGTAGTACCATAAAATTATATATCAACGGAAAGATAAATTAATCAAGAATGTAATGCAATAAGGTTTGTTCAATTATCTGTATTCGATGAAAAGTTATAGCCAAATAACCAGAAAAAGGAAGCACAACTTGCTTAGGTTGATATCAGGTAACTTTCCTTCATCTGATTGTAGCCAATGAGCATGAGTGTTTAGAGAGCCAATCAGGTGTCATCTTGTTTTGGCAGTAAGCCAAAGCTGGATGGCTTACTCATATCCAAGCTGGATGGCAGTAAGATCACAGTAGAATTCAGTTATTGATGTCATGTATTGAAGCTGAGAGGACGCCATTTGTCAGTGTATTATGTGATCACTATCAAGTTGGTTGGGTTTTTTTGTGTTCTTTCATTTAGTGAGCTTGTCAAACGTAATAAAATTAAAGTAATGGTGCAAAGAGTTGACTGGTTGCCCAGAAAGCGATGTAAAATAGTATTATTAAGTGAACAAGGCTACAGTTATAAGAAATTAGAAGAAAAATTGGTGCAACTTAACCAAAGGTGGCATTTCTACTGTACACTTTTCCCAAAAGGTTTCTACAATTTTGGTCACTACTGTACATTGATTAATGCATTAGTCCACTAATGCAACTACACTAATGAAACTATACAGTGCAATGGCCCTTAAATCAATTGAGCAAAAACTCAGCAAACGTGAATTGTGGGTATGTGGGTATCTATGTACAAACACACAGTCTAATATTCTTAAAAACTAAAGTAAGCATTGAAAGATGTTCTTAGAAGTGAAATAAAGCAAATATTTTCCCAGTCAAAATAATCTATTAGCTCTTATACTAACCAAAGTCTGCTAGCTTTAATTCTCCTCTTTCATTAATTAGTAGATTTTGTGGTTTTAAGTCCCGGTGTAGTACTTTTCTTCTGTGACAATAGGCCAAACCACGCAGAATCTGGTATAAAAATAACTGATAGGGGAGAGGGGATTAATAAAAGTTTCAGGAACAATAACCAAACCTACACTGATTGAACCTGAAAGCTGCCAAGATAATACAACCATATGTTTATCAATGCATAGAAGAAAAAAGCATTTGAAACCACAAGCTGTTTTCATATGCTTAATACACAGATTGTAATTAGTCAATTTACCTTTGTTACAGAATATAATAATTTTAAAATTTATCTACTTGGCTTGGAATGCATAACTTGCTGTCTCTTATTATCTTCCCATAAGATGCAGATATCTGTTTAAAATGCAACAAAATCCAAACCACAGTTTAAGCCTGCTGCATGATATAACAACCATTCCTAATAAAGAGTTTCTACGTTTAATCACATACGTCATACTTTCACAGCTATGGAAAGTTTTATTTTGATGCAACTATATTTCCTTCTCTGTTTTTCTTATGCTTCTGCACTTTGGTGTTTGTTTGTTTTTTGCATTTTTTAATATCTGGCTAACACCTACAGTAACAACCAGAGGCTCAAAGACACTTCCTTTTCATACAGTACAGCTATTTTCTCATAAAAGAAACAAGCTCTGGCTTATTCATACTTGTTACATAAGAAATGAACACAGACAATACTTTAACGTTCGCTATATATTTTACTGCTCAGGCATAGTTTGCAAAGTGGTTTTAGAACAAAAAGGTTCTTCCTGGGATTAGCAACCCAATTTTTAAAAGAGGTCTGAAAACCATTATGTTCTCAGTGCTTTTCATGGACCTTTATTATTGTATCATATTGGGCTACCCACCTTTCTACTCATTCTTAGCAACCTGGGATAAAATCCTAGAATCCTGCACAGATTTTTTTCTTCATTTTTTTGAGTCAGTGCATTTAGGTCTCCCAATTCTAATATCTCTGGGCATACTGCATCAAAAATGGGTAAATTAAAAATGAAACAAACTCTACAGTGATAACTGTACAGTGATAACTGCTAGTTACAATTATTAATTATTTGCATACTGGCTGGAATTATGCATTTTATTTGCCCTGTTTTATTCTTGCCTTTGATCCAAGATGCACAGAAAAGTGCATTTCCTCCTATTTATTGGCTTCCCACTATTTTGTGTTGAAAGTGAATTACAGCAAGAGATACAGGAGTGATTCATCCAGGGGTACATTAAGAAATCGCAGTACTGAGCATGGTTTTGAATAATTTTTCATGCATAAACTCAATGTTCTACTCTCACATAATAATTGTCCTGCTAGATTACGTATGGAAAACTGAGGCTGAAATAACCTCTCTCTCTCAGGACCAAACGAATTTAGACTTTTGTTCCACATCCAATATACTACTGGCTACATTAGCACTCAGTGCCATTCAAGAGGAAATTTGTGTGGTCATGTAATAACTGCAGACTCACACTGGTTCCAGGATGGTTCATTTTGCTTATGTGAATAAGTACTATGAAAAAGCAGAATATTACTATCCCATTCTCTTATAACCATTTCCTAACAACCCAGAGAACTCAATGATAAGATTACTAGATTTACTATTCTAAACACAGACATTTATTATGTCAGAAAGAACGCAGCCTGTTTGTCCACTCAGCCAACACTGTCTACTCTGATAGTTCTCTAGAACTTCAGGCAGAGAGAAGTCTTTTTCATCATCTATTTCCTGTTCTTTTTTTCTAACTGAAAATACCATTTAAATACCGGTCACACTGAACAGAGGAAGGGAACCAACTGATATCATTAAAGAGGTTTTGCAAAACTTGCCAATTTATCCATAATGTTAAAGGCTTCCAAAAAGATGGATTTATATATTAGGAATGCTTATGAGTTACATTTGTCACAGAACAGTATTTTTTTTCAGACAGCTATTATCTGTCAATATATCTAGTTATAAAACTTTAGCTATCCAGGCACATTGCTCCTGAAATTTACTCTAGAAATGGTCTTGCATTCTTTTTTATAAAGGATTTTTAAAGGATGCTTGTTGCCTCCTCCGTGTCTGGATAAACCTACCCATACCATAATGTTAAAGATTCACATTTGGAATCTATCAATATCTCTATCAGATATAAATCTACAGAATTTCAAAGGGAAGTTAATATATTTTCCCCATCCCAACCCTGCCCCCATCCACATCAAAAAAAAGACCCTACAGAGTTAAAGTTGGAGACAAGAACAGTTGGGTGGTTGTATAAGCCAAATCTCATGATGTTCTAGTACATTAGGCTGTCAACCACATTTATTCTGTCAGCTGTTGTTTATTGAGCACACTATTCTTACTTGAAAGAAAGTGTAACAATATAAAATGTCTATTGAAAGGCAAGAACTGTTTTATGAAGTCAAATTCCTTATATATTTATTGCAATGAGTCAGGTTCTCATAGCCAATGCTTAAAAATGTTTTAATAATGAACTGCATTTTCTAAAGAAAAAAATATTTAGAAAAACGTATGAACATGAATGGCATTTGTATTCAGGTAAAATTCAAACTGAAAATTAGAGATTAGGACTCACCTTTACATTATGCACACTCATAATGTTCCCACAGTCATCCATATATTGCTTTAGGTCTTTGTCCTGACAAAATAAAAATAATTTGCATGAAAGATAACAAGGTATTTTTTTAGTTATTGTTAATTATTTACTTTGGTGGATTTCCTACCTCTGATTCAGGTCAAATAGAAATAACATGTGTTAAACACATGTTAAAAGCTACCTTTAAAGTGTGTATTTCTTTAAAATTCTAAATTAGCTTGTTTAAAAGGGTCACTGAAGGTAGTTACAATGCTAGTCAAGACTAAGAAATTAGTACTGCAACTTTTGATTAATTCATTGTTCATTAGCAGAGGCAGATGATTAACTAACAAAAATGTTTCAGCTGGCAGACTGATTTCTAATTTTAATCAGTATTTGAGAAAAAAAGAGTTTTGCCTTAAGCAACAGAACTCAAAAAATATCTCCATATACTTTTATTGTCTGAACATTTTGTTCACATTGAACATAATTAAATGGATTTTTTTAAAAAAATTCCAAGGAGACCTAAAGAGGTACTGCATGTGTTACACTAATCAGCTAGTGAAAAACATTTTTCCAGTCGCCACTGTGAGTTCCTAGAAAACAATTAAAATTATGACATCAAAAGACTACAAAAATTACCCTCACAGGTAAGTATTACATTATTATTATTCTTTTGTTTCTTACTATATTTCTATCTCTACAGCTTTAGATGATTAAACTAAACACTTGAGAGAATTTTTGAAAAACTTACCAGATACTCAAATACAAGAGTTAATGATTTGTCTGTATGGACAATATCATGTAATGTAACAATATTTGCATGTTTTAGGTCTTTTAGCAATGACACTGAAAAAAAGAACAGAATGAACTGTCAAATACATAAATGAGTGAACTAAACTGTACATTTACAAGTAATCCTCAACTTACGATCACAATTGAGTCCAAAATTTCCATTGCTAAACGTGACAATTGTTAAGTGAGTTTTTCCCCATTTTACCTTTCCTGCCATAGTTAATTGAATCACTGCAGTTGTTACATTAATAACATGGTGATTAAGTGAATCTGGCTTCCTCACTGACTTTACTTATCAGGTGATCACATGATCCTGGGACACTACAATCCTCATAAATACATGTCAGTTGTCAGGTGTCTGAACTTTGATCATGTGACCATGGGAATGCTGCAATGGCCGTAAATTTTAAAAAATGGCCACCAGTCACTTTTTTCAATGCCATTTGTAACTTCCAATGGTCACTAAATGAGTGGTTGTAAGTTAAGGACTGCCTGTATTATTGGGTGGCAAATGTGTAGTATGGATTTAATTATTTTCATTAATTTGATAAGTCTTCAAAAGTAATTAGGAAGAAATGCATGAGCTCTCATGTGAGCACAGCACCTTTCTGCTATTCATTAAAACAGTATTTTGTACACCTTAGAAAAATATGCTGCTGCTTTAAAAATTGCTTTACCTAATCATTGTTAAAGCAACAGGATCTTTTTCAGGCTTGGGTGAAACCTAAAAAAGGATGTGGGTGCTTTAATTAATAGCAGAGAGATACTCTTCTTATGCTAAGTCTAAAGCACATTTTTGAAGCACACACACATTGCTTTCTAGTTTGGTTTAGGAACTTCATATCAAGGGGAAAAATTCAACTGAAATCAACTGCAGCTGCAATTAGCAATTTGGCCTAAATTGATCTAATCTTTTCAGTTCAAATACACAGAATTTGTATTCTTTTGTGCTCAAAACAGATCCACGAAAAGTCTGATCATCATCATCATCATCATCATCAAAATAGATCCAGTAACATACCATGAGTTGATCAAAAGCAAACATAAAAAACAGAAATAGTTATCTTGATGAAAAGAAGGAAATAAAATTTATGAAGTAAATCATGGGCAGGAAACCATTAAGAAAAACTGGGAAATAAAATGAGCTCTGTGCTGACTCTATGAAATTGAAATCAGTGGCATCTGCAGAATTTCACTGCTTTTGTCAGCTCCATCCCTTTAGCAACACATAAAGGGGACAGAGCACATAATGTAATGAATTCTTTGCTTTCATCAAATTGGTCTCCTGTGTTCCCCCATAGGTACTACTAATTTAAACAGCCCATTTTTTCATCAATCCAATTGCAATGAGCTTGGAATGGCCCACCACTGATGAAATATTAGCATTCTGGAATCTGAACATTTTACTTCAAAATATTTTACACAGCTCTATTCTTCAATAAGTAAGCAATAAAACTTGCAGCGTTTTCCATAAGGAAACCTTACATTTCTGTTTTATTGTTCTACTTTTTGTATATCCTGTCATAGAAAAAGATAATTAAGACATTTCCTCCTCCAAAAGAGTTGAATAAGAATGCAGTTTTCTGCCATTTATCTTAACTTTGATTAGAGAGACTCCATTCTGTTACTTTAAATCTTACATTTCAATATATTCCATTTTTTTTTTGTTTAATTATAAAACATTTTGCTTTGGTCATATGTTGGAGAAATAAAAAGTTTGGCAAAAATAATCAGTGCTTAAATTTCTGATACTAGGCCATAAACAATAGCAAAAATTCCCAAGCCTGGGTGCTGAATATATTAATGGCCCCTCTTCCTGGCTATATTGCTAACTGGCCAAATATCTTGCTCTTGTTTATGTTGAATTAGATACTTTTAATGTTTTTATTGGTTTTACTGTTTTTATTGTTTAAAAATGTTTAAAAATTTTAAAATGATAATATATTTTCTGAATTGTAAATTGCCCACAGTCATTGACTGAGATGAGTGGCCATAGAAATTGGAGAAAGAAAGAGAAAGAAAGAGGGAGGGAGGGAGAGGGAGGGAGGGAGGGAAAGAAAGAAAGAAAGAAAGAAAGAAAGAAAGAAAGAAAGAAAGAAAGAAAGAAAGAAAGAAAGAAAGAAAGAAAGAAAGAAAGAAAGAAAGAAAGAAAGGTGATAAGAAAGCAATAGGCCTTAAGCTTATATTTCCGCTATCCCCAAATTTGTTTCACTCTGTGGAGAAGCAAAAAATGCATGAGGAACTTTCTATTCTGGTGTTTCTGAACCAGAAACCACACATACCAGGTCTATTAAACCTATTTTTTTCACATTAGATACAATTATGCAATTGGAATTTCTGCTCATGATTTCATCTAAATTAAAAAGTGTTGCTTACCTTCTCTAATAGCTGTGCACGGTGCACCCTCTTCATGCTCTAATCTGATTTCTTTTAAAGCTACTAGATTTTCAGTCAGCTTACTTCTTCCTTTATATACTGTTGCATATGTACCCTGAATAGCAAATGAAGAAAGTACATGAAATCTGAATTACAAATTCTGCATTAAAAGGGAAAAAAACTAATTAGACCTTTATTAGAAGCAGATACATACTAATCACTATATATTGGTTGAAACAACCCACTCTTAAGGATGGTATCATTGAAAGCATAGCCATTTATATATAATTCATAACACTCCCAATAGCTTCACGACTGCCGAACAATTTTGGGCCTACTCCTAAGATAGGAAAGAGTGTCTACCCATTTCACATTATTTATCCATCCAGCTCAGTACTTAATACTAAGTATGTGCAAACTCTTCAGTTCTGGGAAGGGAATGATGTGGATAACTCTGGAATATTCCGTTTCTCATCTGGACCATCTATCATTCCAAAGGTGGTTTAGCAGTTTTCCAGAAGTTAATCAATAATCTGGAACATGTTTATGCTGCTCTGGACATGATAGTCCAGACAGGACTGCTTTAGAACTGGCCTATGTCTGTAATACCATTTAAAGGATTACATTTTGGAAAACCATTGGATTACCCATGGAACAGAGGGAGTGGTATTGGCCTGGAAGAGTAATTGAAGGTAATGTCTATGGAGATTCTCAGTCATCTAGGTCATAGTTGTCCCAAAGATGTTTTTTCACAAGGCAACTGGACTTTCTTGTTTTTCTTTGATGACAGAAGCTTTAACATCGAAGTTTGCAGAAAACTCCCACATACAGATCAATATTTACATTTTTATTCTCACCACCCACTGGAGCACAAAATGGGAGTTATCAGAACCCTACACCACCGAGCTGAAGGCCTGCCTACCAACAAATATGGGAAAGAAAAAGAACTAAAACACATCAAGGAAGCCCTCGGAACTTCTGGCTATTCCAAGTGGGCCTTCATCAAATCCCAAAAAAGACCCATCAGGAGCTCCTTCGTAACAGACAAAGAAGAAAACAATAAATGAAGCAACGTAGTCACTCCATACGTTGCAGGAATATTGGAAAAGCTCAGGAGGATCTTTAGCCAATACAACATACATGCACACCCGAAACCCAAAAATACACTAAGGCAGAAGCTTGTCCACCCCAAGGATAAAACACCCAGACACAAATGTGGTATATGCAGTATAATGCAGAGAGCCATGTGCAGATGTGTACATTGGGGAAATAAAACAACCATTTCATAAACACATGGCACAACATAGGAGAAAAAACCATCAGGACAAGATTCAGCAGTCCATCTGTGTTTAAAAGACAAAGGCCACTTTTTCAAAGACAGCAAAGTCCACATTTTGGACAGAGAGGACCACTGGTTTGAAAGAGGCCATCTATGTCACAATTGAACAGCCCTCTCTCAACAGAAGGGAAGGGATATGACATCATCTATCTCCAGTCTACAACACAGTCCTTTCAACAGTTCCAAGAAGACTCCACACCCATTTGCACTATTCGGGTGACCCTGATGACACAGATAAAACTTCCAGGAGGCCTCAATAACTCTCTAAAACAGGGGTCTTCAAACTTGGCCCTTTTATGACTTGTGGACTTCAACTCCCAGAATTCCTCAGCCAGCGTGCCTGGCTGAGGAATTCTGGGAGTTGAAGTCCACAAGTCATAAAAGGACCAAGTTTGAAGACCCCTGCTCTAAAAGAATGCAAATGACCAGTTGTCTGCAAGGAGTATAAATCCTTCCATTCCCCACCATCCAGTCAGAGCTGAAGAAGCTTCTTGGATGAGAAGCGAAACATCTTCAAAGAAAAACAAGAAAGTCCAGTTGCCTCGTGAAAAAGCATCTTTGGGACAATTGAAGCTAATGTTTCCAGTACAATGCATTTTGCACATCTCTACAAAGTACTGTACACAGGAACTTTAAAGGTAGATTAGGTGGGAGAAAAACATTCCTCCTATCAGCTGAATATTATATAACCCTAACCCTAATCATGTACTGATGATGGTGTTAGCTATCATGCACTGATGGTTGGGTAATGAAACATCTGAAAGCAAACAATAGTTTATGACATTTATGGTGTTACCTAATAGCAAACAATAACACTTTTGTATTGATTACTTTTGAAACAAATTTAAATTTTCAACATACATTGTAAGAACTGCAGCAACCACTATGTAGGACAAACAGGCAGAAAAGACTGGCAGAATGCATCTATGAACACTAACTAGCAGTCAGAAGGCATGATGAAAATTCTTTAATTTCACAAAATATAGGCAGATTTAACTATAATTTCAACTGGGAAAATGTGACAATCCTAGACCAGGCCAAGTCCAAAAACGCCAGGGAATTTCTAGAAGCCTGGCACTCTGACAAATCAGCCATCAATAGACACATAGAAATTAACAACATCATTCTATAGACTACGCAAAAGAGACAATCAACCAGTCCAAAAGAGAACTAAAAGACCCAAGCACCTCTCCACCAGCAATCAGCACCCAGAATCAGCATAGATTAACATCAGACCAACAATCAAATAAGCAATACCCCAATCAAGAAACTGCCAAAGAGCCAACAGTAAATAGCCCAACCAAAGAATCCCTAAGACCACCCCCACCAACACTGACAGGGTAAGCTACCAGAATATAAACTGACAGCAAACAGCACTGATGATGTTACCTAGTTTGGGTAATGAAATGTCTGCAAGAAAACAAACAAGCTCAGAGAGCACCAAGGACCCCTTCAAATGTATTTATACAGTATAAGCGTAACAAATACTTCATAATATGTTTATCTCATGCACTACTGTTAAATGATATCAACTGTCCACAATTATCCATGCAGAAAGCCAAATATTACCATTAAGGAATATATATACTTTGATTTCCAGTTTCCTCTCTCTTATTTTGAGGTTGGATAAGTCATTACCCTTTATTATCATTTAAAATTGAAACGTAATTTATATTCATTTTATTTATTGATAGTTTAAAAAAAACAGACATACCTCACCAAGCTTTTCCAATTTAACATATGTTTCCATTTTTCCAAATCCAATTTCAGACTGTAATAAAAACAAGGAATAAATACAATTACTATAATTCATACAAAGATCAGATTGTCTTCTTGAAGTATGTGTAACATTACATTATCTTCATAAGCAAACCTAAAGTATCCCTGATCCATATTCATAACATTTGAAGAGAGCTAGAAAACCACTTAGATACATGAACTTTGCCTGCACTAAATCTTTAGTAGTATTGTTTCCTTTGCCCATGTCAGCCTCTATTCACCATAGAGCTTCATAATAGAATGTGTGCTGTCTTCAAATGTTATTACTATCTCTATCAGGGCATATCATTATTGTTTACATATGATTATTAAGAAACTATTATTCATAGGAGGCATAGAAAGTATATTAAAAAAATAATAGCCTTCTCATTTTCAAGGACTGAATGTGCTTCTTTAGCCTGATCGTTTATAGAAGGCCTGTTGAGAATGGACTAGAAGACACAACACTCTTCCCATGGAGGTCCATTCTGCACAATCCTTTTTGCATTCTATAAACAGCTAAACTTACAAACAGCCCTATATGAAAGGGTAGCTTATCAGAGAAATTATGCATATATTTTTGTTTATACTGGGTTTTATTACTCATTTACTTTTTTGTTTATGCTTGTCTATTTACTACTTGTATGCCAGCAATATAAATACTGTCCAATAAAATTTAAATTAATGAATGAATGAACAAATTAAAAGTCGTAATACATTTCTCTTATTGTGCTCCATACCAATCAGATATGGTAACTAAGAGCTGTTCACTAGGGCAATAGTGAACAAATATTGCCGGTTGGTGGGTACATTTAGAATTCTGAGAACCTGATATGGGAATATTCCCCAAATGAGTAACTTAGGGGACTGTCTATTTGCAATATGATTCACATGGGGAACTTGGTAAATGATAACATCTTCATTTGTCAGAACACAAATTAATGAGCTTGTTCTCAAGTACTCCTTCAAGTGACTTGGGATGCCCTCCACCACTGTTATCCTACTTTCTGGACACAGGTAACTTCTATAGAAAAGCATTTGATTTTTCTTTTTTATTATCCCAGAATGTTTCTGAGATTTACATTGGAGCAAGAGGCTCTCCAGGAAGAAACATTTGTGCTTAAATGTATGCATTGCTTTGCAGTATGTTAGCTTCCCACTGTTGTTGTGGTAGTTTTTAAGCTTAAAAATTCCTTTCGAAAAAATTGAAATTAGACTATATAGGGAGTCTAATAATCAGGACAAAGGAGGCTGTTCAGAACACACCCACAGGGGCTGTGCTCTTGACCTTTTATTAGGAAACAACTTGCAATGAACCCAGTGGGACTTATTTCAAAGTTAATAAGCTTTAAAAAGACACTGCAGATGTGAATGTGATAAGCAGCATATTGAACTGCACCTGGAAAGCAACTAGGATCCAGTGCATTAGTGGTGTTACTCAGGTGAACCATGCGGCACTCAAAACTGTTATGTGACACTGCATTCTAAACTAGTTGAAGGTTCTGTATGGATTTAAAAGACAGCCCTTTTGTGGCAGAGTGGATTGTGGTCGTTGAGTGAAGCAGTCACATGGTGTTTCACTTAACTATGCTTTGTTCAACGACCATGATTCTGTGCTCAATTGTGGTCATACCATCTACAGAATTTCTTGTTGCTGGGCTGGAGATCATATATTCAGTAAAGGAGGGCTATGTGCAGGACTTCAGATATGAAAGAGAAAAGATACTTTACGGCACTTGAAAAACACTCATATATCAGAGTTTGTCTTCAAGGAGTTAAAGTACTCCTCAGTGTACATGGTGTCACGGATGGCTCTGATTTGGAGTCAGAGGAACCAGAATCAGCTCCAGAAAGACTGACAGATAACAAGCAACCAGCACCAGCACCACCAGACAGACTACTATCTCAGCAGGCAGAGGAGGTTGGAGAGGCCAGTAATCATCAGATACAGCTACTGTCACTCTCTGAAGATGAGGGTGCAAAATTATCGCCCCCTTCCAAAGCAGGGGCTGCAAAGAGTAGTGCAAAGGCACTCTGTAAGACAGCTCAAGTGGAAGGAATCCCATCCCACTAAATGAGACCACACCAGGGCTCTTTCTATTAAAACGGAGCAGCAGGCACAAGCTCTCCATAGATGACAACTGCCTGTTAATGCTCACTTGATATGCCCTGACTCGTGAACCCTGCAACTCTGATTTTGAACTCTGATTGGCTGACAATTCTGCTAGAAGCTTTGACCTTTGGACTCTACCTGACTATTCTCCTAGACACCACTTTGAATTGGAACTCTGGTAAGCCAAACCTGCTGAAGTCTGGAAGGTAACTCCCTTCTATACTGCAAGTGGTTGTGTTTGCAAGCTTCAATTAGCAAACAAAAAAACCCATCTCTTTGTGTATTTGTGTGTATGCTTGACCTGGGAGAGGACATTGCCCTCCACAACTGTGGTCTGATCCTTGTAAAAGATACGCATTTCAGTGTACCTCTTTCTCTTTGAATCTGAACAAGCCTTTAATTAGATAAATTAATAATGGCTCTTTAGAACAAAGCACTGGGGTGATGGGTACATCTTTGGAAGACCCAAGGGATCAGGTTGAATATCTTATAGTCAGCAAGTACCTAAAAGTGAAAACATGATGAAACAATACTAAATGATGTTTAAAATTATTTTGTCTGCATAATTCATAATGAATTGGAAAATTTTAAAATCTATAAAAACTTTTTTTTCTATTTATTTAAATAGAGATTATTTTACCTTTACTCATGATGCTACAACCTACAGATTGTCCATGGGTTATGAATAGTCATTCAGAGGCCATTCAAAATTATAATGGAACTGAACAAGAGGGATTTATGACCAGTATTCAAGAGTTCCAGATGTCACAGCATCCCTGGATCACACGATTGCAATCCGAGCATTTGGTGCCTGGCTCATGATTACAATACTGCAGCAAGACAAAGTCATGTGATTGTGATTTCTGAGATACACTGCCAGCTTCCCACAAGCAAAATTAATGGAGAAGCCAACAGGGAGTTGGAAGTTACTGTTGCTGCTTTTTTGCCCACCTATGCTCTGTAGCACCTGCATATGAATCCCTTCACAGCATCTGTGCTCCTTAGCATTGCTGAGTTACCCCTGCCTCCCTGTATTCCAGAACAATGCACGACCCTGGTCTGCCTGTTGCTGTCACTGCCGGACTTCTGTCTCTTCCAGCTTAATGAACTGCAGAGTCCTGGGTTATGATGGCAACCAGAACTGCAGGTTGCCATTGCTGGAGCCATAGTGGTGCAGTGGTTAGAATGCATTACTGCAGGGTGACTCTGCCCATAGCCAGGAGTTCGATCCTGACTGGCTCAAGGTTGACTCAGCCTTCTATTCTTCTGAGGTGAGTAAAATGAGGACCCAGATTGTTGGGGGCAATATGCTGGCTTTTGTAAACTGCTTAGAGAGTGCTGTTAAGTCTAAGTGTTATTGCTATTGCTAAGTAATGTGGTCACGTGACATTGTGCTTTATGACCACATCTCTTAGCAACAAAAACTGCGGTCCCAATTGCTGTTTTAATCCAAGGCCTACCTGTACTTTATAAGCATGGCTTATTATCCATTGTCTTGTTATTATACTTGACCAATGTGAGATTTCATACTTGCATTTGTCTTCCTGCTTTTTAAACAAATTTCATAACAGAGAAATCAGTTGGGTTCACACTTTATAATAAGCCAACATTTATGTTTGTTGCCTAGTTGATAGAGGATCCAAACTACTATAGTTTGCAAATCATGAATTAAAGCTTAGGGTTATGGGTGAATCCAGGCATTGAGATTTATTTAAGAAAATATTAATACATCATTTAATTAAATGAATTATATCACAATACAGCTGCAAGTGCTCTAAGACACCTATATTTTTGCTGTAATGTATTTAAACATCTGGGCTGCAATGAAAGTATGACGGTTATAGTAAAGTTATCTATTTCAGGTAAAAGATCTTACCAATGATGCTCTACGAGACCGTCGACTCATTGGTTGATCAAATGGTGGACTATTTATTTGCAACTTTTCAAGATATCCATCAGGTATCCTAATGTCTGCAGGTAGTGACAAGCGTTTATTCAAGTCCTGGAGAAGTAAACCAATACTAGTAAGAGGACATACATATTTTCAAAAATTATTTCCATAGAAAATAAAAATGTCAATAAGTACTCAGTAATGTAGGCATAGTCTGTTACTGGTTAAGAACACAGAAATGAACCAAACAGGCTGTTTCTATCGAAAGACACAATTGCAATGCTTCATCTGAAGTTGTTAACAAATCTTTACTTCCAAAAATAGCAAAAGAGAATTTTACTTTCTTTAATGGAAAGAAAGGCTTTCTTTAACCTTGCCAGTATCTGATTTACAAATATTTTCTATGTGCTGCTATTTAGTGGTTGCCCAAATTTTTGCAGACTAAATCTGGCAATGCTTCCCTAATACCCTTCACATGTAGTGAAATGCAGAGTTCTTCATAAAAATTTAAAAATTTGGACTCAGGATAGGCAGATGTTACCTCTTGATAGTCATAAAGGTATCATTGCAGGTGCCAGCCTGCCACTTGCAAGGTCCAGTTCCCCTCTCCCCCTCCTGCTGGGCCAAGCCGCAAAAGTTGGGGACCACTGTGCTATAAGACAAAGTTAAGACTCCTACTTTTCTCTTGCATGAAGGAATCATAGGATTCTCACCAGTGAGCTTTTTAAAAAGTTATGCTATTGTTTAATTCACAATAGACAATTTTATGAGATGAAAATATTTACATTAATAGTAAAAAGTTAAATGTGCTCAAATAAAAATATAATTCTAAATGTAAGAACTGTTAAGTTTTAAATGTAAATGTAAGCCAATTTTGAAATATGAATCATGGTAAATCATTTCCTGGTTTATTGTATCACTATGATCAAGGCATGACAGGAACACACTCAGCTAATGGCAATGAATAATACTTTCCTTGCACACAGTTATTCTACTGCAAAGAATGACTCTAGGTAATTACCATCACATTTTAATCACCCTGTGTTGTTCAATGTCCTTATGAAATAGAGATAAGTAAATGAGTTGGGGAGGAGTCTTGCATTCCAAAAACAGCTATCTCACACAATTTACATGACAATGGTTTCCTGTCTTTGGTCTTTCAAATTTCCAGTACCTTTCAAAGATGGTGATGTTATACTGACCTTCTTCAAATGTGCTTCTCTGTATTGTTCATGATGATAATTAATGATCTTGCCAAAACGGCTTATGCCTGTGATGCAGGCACTGCTAAGGAAGACCCCAATAACATTTGCAGGCCTCACTGCTATTTCATGATAAGATAATTTAAACATGATATTGTTGCCTGCATTTTTAACTCTGAAAGACTATGCAGTAGATCATTTTTTTCCACAGAAAATACACTGCATTTTTATGAAGAATTATATATTAGGTCAATGCTTTATGCACAAGGTTCTCTGGACTAGGATGCTAACACAAAGCACTGGAAAAGGACTTTTACAATGGATCTAGCAGGGGCCAAAGGCTGGGGAAGGGAGAGAAATCTCTGTGGCCTGAAGCTCTCAAATATACTCAACTTCTTCATATTTCTGTATGGCATGGTAGAGTTTAGTGTTGCTAAGAGGAAGATTCTTCTGATTTTGCTCGTCAGAAACTGTTTTGCTCCTTTGAATTTCACATGGCTTTCTAAGTCTCCTTCCCAGGGATCGGCTGCATAACTTGAGGTTTCCTCACACAAGCCCACATTGCCTAGTGAGCTAATCATGCCATTTACATCTATGGTCACATCATATAGCCTTTTCTAGGGAGTGTACTTTACACACATTTAAGATTCCAATGCATCTAAAACAGAACACACCTCAAACAGGGCAGAGAGCATGAACAGACTGATTTTACAACAGAAATATGTTACCACAAAAATGGGGAGGAATTACCAGTCCAAACTAAATAGAGAACATAAAAACATTATATTTAGCATTTTGAAATATTAGAGACTTATAATTGTAGATTCTAGCATACTTTTGATATGGTAATTAAAAATAAAACCTTCCCTATTTTAATTAAATACCTAGTCAATCTCTTTTAATTGTTAACTAGATACATCAGAAAAATGTCATGTTTGAAATGTTATCTGCTGGACAGTGCATAATGCCAGCAAACTGAAACAAAGATCTTGTCAATTGGAGAATCCAAGTTTATAAGGCACTAGAAAGAGAAAAATACTGATAATTGGAGACAGAACGAGTTTCATACCCAAAATGTGTTTTTAAAAGTGAATAAACCCCTAACCCCATTCTATTGACAACAGAATGAAGATCTAATAGCAGATTTAATTCAGAATCATAATGAAAAAATATAAGTTATTCTCTTTGATTTTACAAATTATATTTATTTTCACTGCTTCATTTTCAGATTACCACTGTAGAATCAAGCAGTTCTGCTCCTAAAGTATTCTTATTATTTCGCCTCAAACTTAGTCAGACCACACTGACGAGGTCACGTTATTCTCCAAAGCACCACAGGGCAGGACAAGAAACAATGATTGGAAACTGAACAAAGAGAGAAGCAACCTGGAATTAAGGAGAAATTTCCTGACAGTGAGGACAATTAACCAGTGGAACAGCTTGCCTCCAGAAATTGTGGGTGCTCCATCACTGGAGATTTTTAAGAAGAGGCTAGACAGTCACTTGTCTGAGATGGTATAGGTTCTCCTGCTTAAGCGGGGGGCTGGACTAGAAGACCTCCAAGGTCCCTTCCTGTTCTGTTCTCTATTCTATTCTATTCTATTCTATTCTATTCTATTCTATTCTATTCTATTCTATTCTATAGCAACTGACTGTATCTTTTAGTTCAGGAACAATTACAATGGCCTTGTGACACAGACATCTTTAGCTTTGAAACCCCAAAGAATTTTGAATGAATGAATGAAAATTATATGTTATAGAACATATGTGTAATTTTTAAGTAGTGCATACTATTGTATTATTTTGTACCTATTTCCAAGTGTCATCAGATTTTACATAGGAAAACAGACACCTCATGACATCTTTCGGCCCTTTTAAAATGTTAGTAATAGTTTTAAAAAGTAACTGAGGTTGGTGGTCACCATTTTGGTGTTCCATGGCTATTCTAATACCTGCAAATAATGCACTGCTGATCCATCAGTTATTAAGGATATTATGCTTTGACTATTGTGTATGTTAAAAAGTGTAAAAGACTTTCAGTTTAGATCTTTAACTTGCAACAGAACAAATGTCAATATTTCCCTCCCTTCTTCCAATGTTCTTTCAAATTTTACCAGCTTGCCAAGACTTTGGCTATATTCTTGGTACATAAGCTAAAATTATAGTAATATGGAATGTTTATCACTCAGCTCAATATGGAAAATATGTTAGTTAATCATGTTAAACATATTGATTTGGTTACTGATTTAACCAAATCATAGTTAAGCTTTTGAGTCAGCTCTAAGAAAATCACAGTAAAACAGCATTTGTGTTTTTAATGAAAAAATGTTTAATTCAGAAAGCCAGAATGAAAAGGATCTATATTTAAATTAGAAACTTAATTTAAATATAGATTCTTAAATTGACAATTAAAATATATAGAATTTTACTGCAATTACCACAAATACTGGCATTCATACAGATTTTTTTATAAATGAAGGAAATTAAGTACTTTTTCCTCCTTTTGTTTACTGTCATGCACAATTCCGTTTTTAAACAGGAAAAGAGAAATCTGGGGAAGTCAAGAGCTTTCCCATTGTACTCAGTTTCGGAGCATTGTGCAGATTAATAAGCAGTATTAAATGAAAGCGTCATGAGTAAGAGATGGTCTTTCCAAAACTACACATTTCAAACTATAGCTTACATTGCCATGTTTTCAGTTGTACTTCAATTTCAAGGTTGATACAAAAATCTGCCTTTGATTTCCCAGTAACGCTGAAGTCCAAAGAGAGAGGAAATGTTCTTCAAACATATTTACCTACTTCCTGGACCATTATTTATTATTTAACTTTTAGTAGTACAACTTTCATTCACACAAGTGTTCTGCAAACAGCAAATAATGTTGTTTTATGACTAGCCAATTCAATACAAGGAAATGGCATCACTTGAGTGAAGAACCCAATTTTGGGTACATTTCTATCTGCTGCTTGTAGTTTTAAAAAGTAATTTGTGCCAGGAAGAATTACTATTCAAAACAGTGAAGCCATATATTTTTATGCAACAGGTTACATTGAAATTACAATTATTTCCAATCAGTTGCTAAATCTGATTCAAAGTGCTAACTTTAATTATTAAAACCTAGAATAGTTTACAACCAGGATCCCTTAAGGACTACTTCTGCTTCACAATAAGCTTTCTTGATCACAAAGGTCTGCACTAAAGTTCTCTGCTACATCATACTGAAAGCAGAGGCACATTTTGTAGGAACAAACAAAGGGGTTTTAAGAGGTCAGATCTAACCTCTGGAATATCCTTTTCTGACAGGTTGTTGGGCAAAATCTTTGGATTGTGCAAACCTCCAATAAGGCACATTCTAGAAAATTAGTCTACATAGCAGAAATTAGAAATCAAGATATATAGAAAGAATAAGTAGAAAGAGTGGAGTGAACTTATCTGATGGTTATATACATTGAAAAATGCTACACTATTCAGCCTCACTGCTTATTTACTAACTAAATGAAACAATAGCATTATTATTTGGCTTTGCTAAAATAATGACTATAGGCTTCTTTGAGCTTTCTCTTTGCTAGATCACAATCATGTCTGTCTTACTAATAGCTAGAAAAAGACAAAGAACAGTGCCTTTTGTGTTTTTAGAACTGGTTGTGGGGGGAATGGGCACTATTTTGTTTTCACTTGCTTTCTTATTTCTTCCCAGCAAGTTTTGGGAAATGGGTATTTATTAAGAATACATTAAAAATACATTTTAGCCCAGTTGCCTGACAACTCTAACACTAACCTAGAGCAGAGGTCCTCAACCTTTTGGGCACCAGGAACCGATTCCATGGAGAAAGGTTTTTCCACAGACCAGAGGGGGCATGGTTTTGTGTGCTGCCTGCATCCCGCTGATGGGGCTTTGCTTGTTTGTGTGGACCAGATGCTTGCGAGCTGCGGCCCGGTACTGGTCCACTGCCCGGGAGTTGGGGACCCCTGACCTAGAGAGATACACTACCTATTACAAATCTATTTACAAATGCTTCTATCAACCTCTAAATTATTTGTTCATCTCATGGTTTCATATTTTGAGAAGCTTCTGCAATATTATTTTGATTGTCTGGAATTTCCATCATTATAGCTCTTGGAATCAAACACATATCATACTAGGCTTAGTGTGAATCCATCCAATAGTCGGTTTTTTCCATAAAGCAAACCAAACCAACCAAACCAAACTATGGCTTGTCACAACTTATAAATGCAGTTGCAATGTACCATGGAGTGTGCTGTTCCTCCTGTAATTTTTAAACCAACAGGCATTTCAGAATCCTTAGACTTGGGTGTGACAGAACAATTTTCAGATAAAGTATTTAAAAAAGGAAGAGAAAACCAAATACAAAATTCAAAGTAGGCAGCATTTTGTCTAGTCTCACACTTTTCTTTATTCAGATAAAAGGATTTAAATGTCAGCAAATCTGCTAAGGAAACTGAAATTGCTCTAGGTGTATTTTCCTACTTCCTCTTAATTATACCTGTAGAATGTTTTGAGATAAAACATATTTACAAACAAAAAACAGCTCTTATGACTGTCAGAACTGAACTTGTTTTCTTTTTCTTTTTATAAAGTGTTATTAGTTTATAATATACAATACAATGGAAATACAAAAGCAAGTAGCGGAAAAGATGGGGAAGGGAAAGGGGAGTAGAGAAGTGAGGTATGGGAGGGAAAAAAAGGCATTGACTTCTGACTTTGTTCGGTGCAATTGAGTATCAACTTCAAACCTCAATTTTTTACTTTTACAAACTATTATAAACTAGCCATTTCAATAACATCAAATCTAACTGATAAGGCCCAAAATCAAATTTTCACTTTTTTCCACTTCAAGCACTGAACTGGTTTTCAAACAGTACAATGCTTGAATAACCTTCCTCAGTGTATTAATTCTCAGATGTGTTGGACTATACCATTCCTAACAGCCTATCAGTTCTAACCAGAAAAATTAGTTTCCTGGCTGAAAGTTATGAGAAATGCTCTACGTCTTCCAGAACTCTATGCTGTGTCCTTTCACCACGTAGCCCTAAAATACCTGAAGAATATCAGAATGAAAAAATCTGATTTACAAGAAAGAAATGCAATGTTATCTCAAAACTATCTTTCTTCAACCTGCTCCTCAGATTACTTCATCTCCAGTAGCTACACTGGCCAGAATTGATGGAAATTCTATCTCGGGCATATTATGTTTTTATACATTACACATTCAATAATAACTTTCAATTTTAAAAAAATCAGATTAAATCTGTTGTACAGGATCAGTTACTCTGAACATCAATAGATTTACTTTAAAACACCCTAACAGGGACAAAAGTAATGCAAACAAATCCCAAGTCTTTTGTTAGGATAATGCCTCTTCTATGAAAAACTAGATTACCTCCATAGATATCCGTCTGTGTATCCTGTTCCTGAGACAAACACCTGTTGGGGATTGAACTTCATCAGATGATGTTCCAGAAGCTTGGTCACTTTCACCATCTGATCCCATTTTTAGGTTTTCGTGTACAATGTCTAAATTGAACAAATCCAATAATTATTTAATTATTATTTAATTATTTAACTTGAGAAAGTATTTTCCATGACCTCAGTGATAGTTCTCAGGCTTTAATGCAACTTTCTGTCAGTAGAGAGCAACCCACCTTTCTCTCTGTTATTCTTTGGCAGGTGATAAATAGACAGGTTTTTAATAATTCAACTGGTTTGTCTGCCAAGGTAGAATTTAAAGTATTACCTCTAGTTGTTTATGCCCTTTTATATATTACTTTTATTTCTTCTTTTATCTGTATTTTATTGTTAGTCACTCAGATTATCTTTGGAAAAACAAAATATAAATTCAAAGCAAATTACAGATTATTAGTCCTCTGGAACTATAAAATGTTAGTTTGGTTAGAATATTTTTGTTCTATTCCTGTATCATTGACTGGTGATTGATCTTTCTTTGATTTCATAATCTTTAAAAAAAACAAAAGCAGTAATGTTCTCTTGATACAGCAAGAAAAAAAAGGTGTATTAAATTAAAATAGACATAAAATTCTAATCTTCCAAATATTCAGTTTAAAAGAAGGTATTTATTAAGAGATGCTAAGAAAGAGAAATTGAACTTAGATAAATGTTCTGTGACAGATATCTTCAAATAGCAGCACTGGTTATTTGCCAAAAACTACAGTTATTTGCCACAGTAAATATTGAACTCGAGCTGTTAAAAATGTTCTTCCCTGAACAACAGAAGAAAATGGCAAAAATTCTAGCATTTTCCTAATAAGTAGTGCCTATTGTCTTTGATTAGCTTACATATGCACCTTTTAGATATAACACTGACTGGAAAATAGATGGCATATTTGGGGAGAATTTGACCAAAGTTCAGCTATTATATTTCTAAATTTGGCAAAACTAGTTTGCAAACAAGTTTTGCAAAGTAATTCAAGTTATACTGTAGAAATATCCAATTACATGGTAATCATTTCACCTCTTCCTACCCTCTGCACCTTTCCTGTTATCATCCCCCAATGCTCCCCTTTTGAGTCTTCCATTTTAGGGGAGGAAAGTGACTCCATGTGTGCTTTGGAGCACTACACTGACCTTCAGCTGCCCATAATTTTTATTTCCAGAAAAGGAATGGTTTTTGGATCCTGGGAGGGCCAGACACATTCTGTGGAGTAAAAATGCCACATAGCCACAAACGAAAAAAGATTCTCATCCAACTCTCAACCGCCACAGAGAGTGTTATCATTGGGCACTTTCTATAAACAAGAGTTGTTGTCCAATAATCTCCAACATATGTTAGATTAAAGTATAAAAGAGCCTCCGTCTGAGGGAGATGAACGGTTAAGAAATAATAAATGTATATTAAATATTTTGATACTTTTTTATGTACATCAGTACTAATAGTTACCAATAAATAGCATTTTAAAGAAAATTAAATCTAAATGAGATATAATGCAGGTTAAAAAAAGTTAATAAAATAGGATAGTCTTGCATATATGACAACATGCATTTTAATAATATATATAGGAAACACTAAGGAAGATGAAGGCCATCTATAGACGTTTTGTTTTCAGAACTAACATTCAAGACACCAAAAATTTTAATTGCTCAGTCTTTAAGCATACAAAAAAATCTTCTGTGACTAATGGTATTTATTTTTACTTTACAATTCTGAAGCTTACAGTTCATCAGAAGTGACAATTGTCATCTGAGATAGATTTGCTTTGGTCTATAGAATTGCAAAAAACTGGTTTTTAATCCTGAAGCAATACATTTTTTTTAAATTAACAAAAAAATGTTGCACAGCAAAAAATAATTTAAATTAGGCAAAAATCTGTTTCTTATTTAATATAATTGCCTGAATGAATTAAATTACAGATGCAGGAAATGGGTCAGACCAATCTTCATATCTTTCTCTCCTTATCAGATAAAACATAGTATGTTCACAAGAAATATTTCTATGTCACAAGCTTATTGATATAAAAATTACACCTCTGGGAAACCTAATTCATATAAAGAGCAGGCAAGTCCGTCAGCTAATTTTTCTGTAAGGATAGGAAGAAGACCTCATGCACTCATGAATATTTAAGCAATATGCCATGGATACAGTAACATAAATCCATATAATTGATTTAGACAACAATATAATTGAAAAAAGATGGTTTGCAGATAGATATGGGAAGGAGACTGGATTGGTTATGAGCTTTGGGCAAGCAGATTTTCACAGCTGTCAGTTGGAGCTAATAAATTCAAGGTAGCCTATATTATCTTTTCTTCCCACTTAGGAAAATCATGCATAAATGTTTAACATATGAATGTGAAAGAGAACTGAAAAGTTGATGCAACAATGCCCATATATAAAGTTAAGATACCACTACTCTTTATATACATGTGCAGTTTGGGTCAACATACTTGCATAAGGACATATAAAAGTGAAACTAAAGTAGCACACTTTCAAGAAAATACTAGAAGGAGAAATAGAAGATTGATAAAGGAATAGTTATATGTAAATATTGAGTATTTTTTGGCATAGGATGCAATACTGGATCCAAGGTCCTGGAGGATCTGATTTTAATTCATCATCTTTGTGTAACAAAATGGGTAGAGGCTTGCAGCATTCTTTCAATTGCTATACTCATGTTTTGGAACAGCCTTCTCTAAAACATTGATTTATCCCTTCTTTTCCTTAAGTTATTAAATAATTAATTTCATTGGAGAACTGTGAAGGGATGAGTTGAGGCTACTGCTTGTGTAATTATTTGTTAATTTGATGTATAATTTTGTAAAACATGTTTATTTGTATACTATATTCATTGTAATTTACTGGGTCAATATAAACTGCCAAGAACCTTTCTGATTGTAAAGGGAAAATCTAATAAATGAATAAATAAAAATTATGGTATCCAAGTTCATGGTAAATGGCCATAAATTGCTATTACTTTTGATGTCTGGACAGACTTTACTGAATAAGAATCATACAACAAGCAACAGCAGCTAGGCTGTTAAACTGGAGAACTGTGACTGTTTTGTAAGACTGTCCCTACTTGTTAGCTTCCCAAGTACCGTACATTGAGTGGCTGAATGGCTACTGCCCAACAAAAAATGTTTAAACCTATATTCTTGACCTAAGCAGCAGGATAAGAATTATCTCCCAGCTGTTGTGGTAGTATTGAGTCTGGGTTGTTTCCTTGTTTGTTAGTTATTCAACAGGGTACCATACAATTCTTCTAATATCATAGCCATCATTTTTGAAATCTCTGCTTTACACCATTTGATATGCAATGAACATATCTAATATCTTAATTTGGAGGTGGTATTACACAGTACTGTTACACTTCAGTTATTAAAGCATGAAGGTAAGAAGAGAAAAAAGAGAACCTATTAATTTAAAGAATATTAAAAACGCACATTACCTAATCTGCTCCCATTTCTTGGCATTGCCATAAAAGAACCCAAACTGCCCCCTATAACGCTGTGTGGTCTTCGCAATGGAGGCTTTTTGAAGGATCCTGTATACTGATGAAGAAATGAGTGCATGCTGTGTGATGTTGGAGGTCTGCCATTCTTCACAATGGGCTCTAGAATTTGCCAGCATCAGTCAGTTCATCCCACAACAGGAAAATTCAGCAACATGTTGAGAAAGAAAACAGTAGAGTCACTATACAGCCATATTTGGAGCACTCTTGTAAATTGTCTAGAGGCAAAATATTAACTTTTCTTTGGGGGATAGGACACATTTCTCTATTATCCTGCCTACCTATTCCCTCAGCAATGATGGCTGACAATTGGAGAGAGCCTCTTATTTAGAATTAAAATACATCAGTATATTTAAATAGCTATATTTGATAGTCATAGTCATCATCATCATCATCATCACTATCACCATCATCACTATAATTTCATGAAGCTAATAGGGCTGAA